CACTTATCCCCCGGAAATGATTGTTTCTGTCATATAAATGGTCAATTGCACCTAGACAATTGGTCGTTTGTGCCAGAAACATAACCGTTTGAGCCATAAAAATGGTCATTTGTGCCATTGTTACAGACAGAAAGACAGACACAAGTGAATTACGGTTTCTAGACCCTATCCTTTCAGTCTAGGGGAAAGGAAACATGTTTTCTTTAGTTAGATAACTTGTCTTTTATACAATAAAATTTCATGTTGAAAAGCCATCGAAACAGGACATCAATATCCTATAATCGCAGTATTACTCTAATAGGTATATTGGTAGAATGAATTTTTTGCATTTTATTGGATTGGATTCGTTTGTTAAGAATCAGATGAAGAATCTTTTCGAAAAAGATTCAGTTCAAATAAGTTCTTTTCTCCTTTGAGCGAAATACATTGCTGATATGTTACCAAAACATATGATGATTTGCATTTACTCATCATTTTTCTTTGATTCATCGATAGCTATGGAGCCCAACAGCTTGCAAATGTCTCACAAAATAATAAAGTAAAATTTCCCCATGTTTCTACTTTTCTATCTTAAGACATCGGTGAATGCTCATCTCAACATGGAATCGGCTAACTGAAAAATATGATCCATATTTTACTTCGCTCAAATCAAATTCGACGGGAGAAATCGGACAAAATTTGTATCATATAGAGATCTTAATGTTACTAAAGCCGTTTCAACGAGCATCAGGCAGAATTCCGTTCTTGAGATCATCGCGTCACAAAAATGTTGACTTTGGATGCTTCGCATTGCATTAAATATTTCAGTTGATTATGAAAAGACTTCTCGCGAAAAAAATCAGTACTATGCATGGTATTTTCGTGTAGGAAGTATTTTTATGAGGCCATCAAAATCAGATCATAGGAATGTTATATTAATAACTTGTTCGAATATATTTCATTCATTTTTGATTAATACCAGCATTATACTTAGAAATTATGTTTATTTTATTTCGATTAATCAAACATTAAAATTATATTTTTATTCGTAATTGTTCACATAATATCACGTATCTAGGAATTTATCTGAACTCTTCATTGGATATAATCGGTAGAGTGACAATATTACTGAATGTTCGTTCTTCTGCATTTGTTCTATTCGAATTTATGTCATGGGAAGGTAACATGACAGTTATGCATGTTTCTAATAGACAATTTATTTAACAAGAACAAAGTAGAAAGTCAAATCAAGCATGGGTTAACATTGTTTGTTCTATCTCATAGATTCATGACTTAAAATATGTTTCTAATAGGTCAACAAGCAAAGATTAATCTTTTATTCTTATGCGACCATTTTATGAGATCTTGTATCATTAATAGGTTTTCTTTTATGATAGTCCTTTAGCATTACAAATTTTTATCAACTACGTTGTCAAATACCAACAGCTTTACTCATACAAATATATTAGTTGTAAATACCTGACGATTTTAGCATAACATTGTATTTTTCTCCGTCTATAGAGGGCATACTTGTCCTGATGAATATGATTTTAATCTTTCGTAAGATTTATTGCATCATAACATTTGACAGCTATTTTAAATTCAATTTTCTCAGTGAATATCAATCTCTACATAGTCGGAAGTAACACAATTCGTTCACTCTACTGAACTAACCGTTACACTTATGAATCATTGGTAACCAATGATTGGTTACAGTAACAAGCTGTTGTAGAGAAAATTGAAAAGATCAAATCGAAATCATCATGAGTACAATATCCGAGGATATTGATCTATTCACACCACTATTTAAATATTTTCGTCGTCTTCCTGATATCAATTGTTTTAAAGAAGCATATTCAATCGGAACTCATCCAACACTTTTTGAACATTGTCCGATAACAGTCACAATTGATGTAGATCCATCCTTAGGTTTACAACCCATAACAACATGGTCTCTTTATTCATGTAAATTTTCTGATGGCCTCTATTTTCTTTCAAACCCATTTACATCCGTTGGTCAACGCCAATGGATAGACCGATGCATAACTATTTATCCTCGACAAGATAAAACAAATCTTGGTGATAATAGTAACAATCAACATTTAGCTCGTATACGTTGGGCTACACTTGGTTATCATTATGATTGGACAAATAAAATCTATAAACAAGACGATCATACTAAACTACCGAATGAACTTGTACAATTAAGTGAAACAATTGTAAAAGTTATTTCTTCTAATACAAGTAATACAAAGAAATCTATATATTTCATTCAGAACAAAATTAAAATAATTTGTGTATTTTCCTTCTTTTAGATTGCCCAATGATGCAACCTGAAGCAGCTATTGTTAATTATTATCATATAAATTCTACTTTATGTGCACATACAGATCATTCAGAATATGATGCTTTAACCAAACCTCTTATATCATTTTCGTTTGGTAATTCAGCTGTATTTCTTATTGGTGGTCAAACAAAATCTGAATGTAAACCGTCGCCAATACTTCTTCGTACCGGTGATATTATACTTATGACAGGAGCAAGTCGTCTATGTTTTCATGCTATTCCTCGCATACTCTCTGATCCGTTATTAAATGATATTTTATATACTAATATGGATGACAATGATAAAGTCTGTTGGAGTTATATTCATGACAAGCGCATCAATATCAATTTACGACAAGTCTATACTTAACTATAAAAGACATAAGAAAATAAAGGGAAAGAAAAAGAAATAGAGAGAACAAAGGTATGCATGGCATGTGGTTTCTTGCGTAGCAGGAAAAAAACAAGAAGAAAAAAAGAACGATTGGTTCTGTTCCTCTCATATGTATTTCTTGTCGATAATGTCAAACACGCGTCGCTGTCATTGCTGTTTTTCGGCAATGAGAAAAAAAATAAGAACGGGACATGTATATATATATATATATATATATATATACTCATATATTTATAAATATATAAGAGACTAGCTGAAGTATCTTCTAAACATATCACTAAACTAAACGATTAATTATTATTCAGGTAGTATCAATTTAAAAGATAGAGAAAGCAAAAAAAAATATTAACAAGAAATATGTATCAACTACCGATGAGAGCTAATTTTTTATTCTAACTTTAGATATAAGAGTAGAAGAAGGCAGTATATTCGGCCTAAAAATGCCTGTCTTTAGTAGTAGTAAGAAGAAATCCGATGAATATTGTTGTAAAATATATACGATGGACGCTGAATTACAATTTACTATCGAAGTAAGTAATAACATCGATTGATATCATATTTAGTTAGAAAAAAAATACATGCTTGTTTTTATAGGCGACAGCAAAAGGTCATACACTATTTTCACTTGTTTGCCAAACAATTGGCCTTCGAGAACATTGGTATTTCGGTTTGAAATTCCTTGATAAATTGACTAATGAATGGACATGGTTACACATGAATCGAACTGTATAAATGTTCTTTCTATGATCATTCTATAATAAAAAAAATTGATTTTCTTAGATAACTTCTCAACCAATACAAATCCAGTCAAATCCAATCTCATCTAGAAGACCTGAATCGCCAAGTGCAACAGACAATGTTAAGCCTCATCTACTTCGTTCTCCACCTACGTCTCCGTCCATGTCAACCATAAGTCTTCCGTCGTCATCAACTAGCGGTGCTCATCCATGTGCAAATGTTTTAGAACTATATTTTGTTGTGAAATTTTATCCCGAAGAAATTACAAATGAACTTATACAAGATATAACCCGGCATCTTTTCTATCTTCAAGTTAAACAAGATATTCTCAATATGGATATTTATTGCCCACCGGATGCAGCTGCACATCTCGCATCACTTGCACTTCAAGCCAAAGTAAACAAAATTCAAGTATCGAAACCACAACTATCGTTGATTTTCGTTTTCATTCTAGTTCGGTGATTATGATCAATTAAGTTCATCATCGGAATCGTTGAACTTAGAAAGTGAAGCTTTATTACCATTGTCCTGTTTTCAAAAAGTTGAATTAACTCGTGCGGATTGGTTTGCTCGGATAGTTGCGCTATGGCGTACACATACATCATTAACACGTGAAGATTCTGAAATGGCTTATTTGAAACACGCACAAGATTTAGATATGTTTGGTTTATCATTTTTTGAGATATCAAAAATGCAAGGAGCCAATAAGTCAAGTCCGTCGTCACAGCAGCAATCAGATCAGTCGTCTATTGCTGCGGATCTCTGGCTTGGCATAGACTCATTGGGAATTCGTTTCTATAAAAAAAATAAACTACGACCGGAAGTATTTTTCTCGTGGTCTGATATTAAATCAGTTGCAGCTCATGATAAAAAAGTATTGAAGCCAACACAAATAATTAAATTATTTCTATTTTAAGTTTTTTGAAGGTTATTTTAAATATGTCTGGTGAGAAAAGTGCAGCATTTGCGTTCTATGCTGCTAAATCATCTGTAAGCAAAGAGGTAAATTTCAAAAAGAAAATTTTTATTTTTTATTTTCGTTATCTTTTAATCGAAATATTTTAGATACTCGATCTAGCCACTGGTAATCATGAGCTGTATATGAAACGCCGACGAGAACAAACAATTGAAATCCAACAGATGAGATATTTTGAAGAGCAACAACAAAAAGTAAAAAAATAAAAATATTTATCAATAGTTTGAGGTTTTTGTCTTTAAAAAATTCACTGTAGAAACAAACTAGACTAGAAATTCGACTACGGAAGGCACAGTATACTTTCGATGTTACTGTTACTAAATAAAGAATTTGCTTAAAATAGTCTCAAGTTTGACTATAAACCAATAAGAAACATTATAAATTGTTTCATTTATTTGAACCACTAAGACAAAGTATACAGTGCATTTATTTCTTCTCAAGAATTAGTATGGCACTTTGGTTACATATTTCTTAAAGTCCTGGCTGATTCGTTGATTGAATGAAGTATGAAACAAAATGACAAGAAAATCTTGATAATAATACCGTAAACAATTCAAATACTAAGAAGAGATTTTTAATTTTTATTTGTCATGAAAAACATTAAGGTCAACAGACTACGACTTTCAATCAACTTTATCACACTCAAATGTAGCTTGTCAAATATTGTTTATTTCGATGATAGAGATTTTGTTTTCAAAAAAGAAAATTTAAATGCTTATGCATGATTCTACGAGTCATATCGTTTAGAAACAGTTTAGTAAAATATGAAGCATTCGTCCATTGAAGTTTACAGGGGAAAAAAGCAGCGAAGCACTTCGTTTTTACACACTAATATCTCGCTTCATTTGTACTCTAATTGAATAGGCACAGCTAAATAAAAATATGTACGATTCTCAAGGTTTTACGCTGAAGAATTTTAACAGCTCTAGTTTGACCTTGTTATTTGAATTTTTGAATATCCTAGAAATGCATTTCTGATTCGATACGAAAAAAGATGATTTCTATTCACACAAATATACACATTTGTGTTGTTTTAGGAAAAGCATCGTATAGTTACACGAGAACGTCAATTGCGTTTACAAGCTGAAAAAGAGCGTGACGAAATAGAACGAAAATTTAATGATTATCAACGGCAAATGAAAGAAATTCATGATACATTGGTTTGCCATTAAAATTTATGATCTTTTTGTTTTGTTGAATATATTCTTTTTTCTTTTTTGATAGCTCAAATATCAAGAAGCAGCTGAATTACTAGCACGTAAAGCCCATATAAGTAACGAAGAGGCTCGATTACAAGCTGAAAAAGCACTTGCAATTGAAACTCAACTGGAGCGATGTAAATATGAAATCAGTCGAGTAAGTTATTCAATATGTTTTGTTTCTAGTTAATAATCAAATGATACAATGTTTGAGAGCTTAAAATGGGAAATACGACGTATTTTTTATTGTTAATCATAGAGAGATTGTTCATATCATTGTGCTATTTAGTTCTCTTAAAATTCAATTAGAAAGTAGACCGTACATTAAAACGAGGTGTTATTTGAAATGTATCGAATCGGTACTATCTTCATGAGATATTCATTGCTATAAGATGAGTTCAGACAAATGATACAACGACTCTTTATGTTAGATCATTTATCTGATAGGCTGTTTACTCGATTTTGACACCTACAGACACATCTCCAAATGTATAAAAAGTCAAATTTTGGTTTCTCTGTCTATAGAATGAAGAAGAAAAACGACTTTATGCTCGTCAAATCAGTGAATGTGAACAAATTATTTCAACACTAGTAAATGATTCCGTAAAAAGGTAAGTTTTTTCTCTTTTTGTTTTTGTTTGCAAATAATCTTCACTAAGTCAAAACGCAGTAATTCTGCGTACATTTCATGTCGTTGTGGCGAACTTTCTCTTCTTTCATCAACTATTGAAAAACGGTCAGTTAGTTAACAAAGAGAAACACGGGAAATAGGGACTAACACTAATAATAATAGTAACAGCGAAATTTTAGTAGAGAAATGTATTGAAATTTTTTGTTTTCGTATATCTTGATAGTCGTAAAGAAGCAGAAGAACTAAAAATTGAAGTTGCAAAATGGCGTGTCGCTGAAGCAGCTGCGAGAGAAAAACTACTTTCTATAACGCAATTGAATCAATCCATAGCTGTTATAAATGCTGCCACACAAGCACAACAGAATCTTGTTCAAACCTCATCACCAAGAGCATTATCTCCGCCGCCAGTAAAATATTATTATTTTGCGAGAAAGAAATTTTTATTGAGATTGCCTCCTTTCTACTTTAGTACCGGCCGACTCTTCGAAACCAGGAATTAAATCAAACTGATGAACGGTTTGTTTAATACGAGAGAGAATTCCGAATATTTTAGCTGCTTGTTGTCTTTTAATTATTTAGCGCCTTTTTAATTGAAAAACAATCTAAACAAGCACAATTAGCCTTACAATTGCAAGACCTAAAAAATGTTATTCAATCGAAAAAAATAGAAGAAAAACAAACATTTTTAGATAAAGCTTACGAAGAAAATTTGGCCGTTGGAGATAATAAATATTCCACGATACAAAAAGCAAGTTCGGGTACTGCTTCAAAACGTATGGCGATGTTGCAAGATTTGTAATTTTTGTATTTATTAACATCTGCATATTTTTTGTTTTATTATAATTTTAAAAATAATAATAATAAATATGGCGGTGAGAATGTTTTGAGAAGCTATTTTCATAATTTGTGTACTAATCATCCTGTCATGTTGTGTTCAGACTAACGCAACTGAAACGTTCCTAGAAGAATAACAATGCGAATTTAGAATCTTTGAACTTTGGTCGACAGTAAAATGTCGAAAAAACGAAAAAGTAAAAATATCGAAAACTGAGTAGGTATTCATGAAAAAGGTCGTGTTCAGAATTGATTCATTATTAAAAGAGGTTGTCCCTGATTCGAAGAAATGAAATTTAAATCACTGTTGATGTTGCGTGTCGATTCCGTGGCGGCTTCCATATGTATATTTATCACTCGAATAATGAATAATTGAAGAATAATTTTCTTATTCTTTTCTATTACATTGTACAAAGTGACCAATGTCTGATAGACCAATGATAGATTTAAACGAACATAAGTCGCCATCGATCCTAGAAGTAGTGACGGATCCAGAAAATCTGTTAGGGGGTGGCGCTCGTGACCAAAAAACGGTTTTTCAAGTCTAGTTGAGACAGAACGACTATTTTCTGTTTCATTTCTGCTGGAGAAAATCGAAAAAGTTTCTTAAGGGGGCTGGCGATGGCCGGGTAGCCTAACTGGTAGATCCGCCATTGCCTACAATCATAACATATTCATCGAATATCTTTCAAAACACTCCTTCTTTTAGATTTTTTAATTTTATTTTTATAAATTTCTTTCGACATTTTTGCTGGCGACATTTTTACTGTCAACCAAAGTTGAGTTTACCGTGACTTTAATCAACGACAAACGTTAATCTCTCTTTTATATACTTGTCAAAACTAAATAATTAGACATTCGCACTATTATTATCATCGCGATTTTATCCCAAAAACATGATAAATGACTGCAATAAAGTATAGACTGATATACAGGTCAGCTAGCTGATTATTAAATGCAATCATTTTTCAAGCAAAACTCAACAGGTGATATTCATTTGTGACACATGAAGCTCACTGTCTCGACTATGAGATGAAAATTAGAATTTTCTTTGGAAGATTTTTGAACTTTTTTTTTATAAAGAAGGTTTATGTCGTTAAATAAGTCATCGACGTATATTCAATTTATTCAACATAAATATTTAACTTTCACATTCTTTGCTAGATTTTCTTTTCTTGTTCTGATTCATCAAGTATGTTGGACATCTGTCTACAAGTTACTTATTCGGTGAACCATAAAATTTGTCTTAACCTTTCATACTAAAAAACGGATGATTCATATCGATTTCTACTTTCATTCTATCAATCTTGCGATGAAGATGATCACAAGTTCGACAAATCACTCTATTGATCTTGTTTTTTGTGATCTTGACAATTGAACGAATACGAGATTTTCAATATTTATGCTTGGAATTTCTCTGTATTTCCTAAAATTATATAAGTTTTTAAGAAAATCTTCGAATTACACTGTGATATAAATACTGAACCAATGGAAATTTCCGTTTTACGAAAATCTGAACGTAAGTCAAGATATAATGAAATTGTTTACTACAACGCAATAGATTAGAAAGGTTTATTTTTATATTCATTGAATTATTTACTTGTCAAATTAAAATCATTTTTATTCCTTCATAAACCCTTTTCATTGTTTAGAGATTGTCTATATCAATTTTTGCTAAAAATCTCTATTATTTCTCCAAGCAACATGAAGTAATCATTTCATGCTTGAAGCTCTCAAGGTATTTTCTTTTAAATGAAAAATATTAATCATGCAGATGTGCTTGTGTATGATTCGGTGTTTATTCAGTTATTTTCATGTTGGTTTTTGACATCCAAAACGTTAGTTTTTCGCATCTTGAAACCCGACAGGATTATCATTTCAATCTAAAAGTAACACATTGTCTTCAATCCCTGTAAGAAAGTTCCGTTAACTTTTACCGTAATCTATCGTATCATTTTTCTCTCTGCTAGATAACAGTCATTTCATGGGGCACTCAGTTTCAGGGAGAGCTAAGATTGACAGTGCTAGATTTTTAATATTATACATTTTGTTAATGAGAAGTGGAAAATTTTGACAGATCTCTTGAAAAAAAAACTTGTTCAGTGATGATAATCTTCAAGTTGTCGTCTAATTAAATCCAGATCTCTTCTATAATCACAGTTCACTTGTAATCAAAATGTCTAGAACGAAAACAACAACATACGTTTCCATCTTAACCTTAGCTGTTTTTTCCTCGTTTTAATATTTTTATTATCTCATAGAAAGTAGAAAAGTGAAGTTACATTTATAGTAGAGAGTGATGCAAGAATAGTTCGAATAGAACTTTTGTTGTAATATGCATTTTTCATCACCAGACACAATCTAAATTGAAACAATTGATTTTTAAATAGACAAAATAAATGTCATATCAGAACATAATGTCAACAGTAGCGATGACTCTCAATTTAAGTTCACTTATTGGAAGTGTACTCATAGCTATTGTTTGCGTATTCATGCTTAGTGTACTCTTGCGATCTATTATAATCAAGCCTGATGTCGTTTTAATTTTAACTGCTAATAACTATTTATCAATATTTGCCTTCGAAATTTTATCTGTATCAAACAATATGGATGTTTATCGTGCTCAACATAAATTGTACGTTGCCGAAGAAACATTAATTTGTCGTATTAAAGGATATTCAATTTATTCACTCACTGCAATTATTTTTAACTCTTTTGCTTTACACGTAAGATTTAGCCTCAAGTTCAATTTAATAATTGTATAAATTATTTTCGATGTGATTTGAGACACAACAAAATATTTCGTTGAGTTTACAGAAAAGTTTTGAGTAGTTATGCTATTCGGCTATTGAGATTCAATAGATTTTTCCTAAGAAAAATATTCTGCTGGTAAATAGAATAGTTGTTACGACGGAGAATAAACACTGGTAAGAAGGGAGCTGTTTCTCATCTACGCGAGAAGCTTGATGTCAATTCAATACGAGATTTACAGGTGCATTGTTTTTTCCTATAACGGCGTATTTTCTTCGCCTTTCTACAGCCACTACTGGAATGGAAATTTTGACCGAGTAACTTAAATAAATATATTCATTATAGGCTGTGTTTCGTTTCTGTCGTGTTGTCTATCCTTCTCATATATGGCTGCAATATCGTATTACTTATGCAGTGATTATTCCAATGCTGTGGGTCATCTCGTTCCTTCTTCTTCTACCAGTTCATATATGGCATGATGCTGAACTTATACCCACCGAAAATATCTGCTTGTTCGATGTTGACGATGCTCGTGCATACAGGTGGTCTACTATAATCATTTATTACTTGCCGATGATTTTCATCGGCATTATCTATTTTAAAGTGGTACGATATATGCATCGATCAGTGCTGACTACTTCCGTCCGATCTAAACTTGATTTAATCGTTGCACGTCGTATTGTTCGAGCTGTGCGTGTATTAATACTGGTGAGTGCTCCTACGGTCGTCATGGAAGTAATGTTACCTTCTACTGACACACTAAAACCATTATTCTATCGTATATTAAATGCAACTTTAGTCATGATTATGGTTGCTCTCAGCTTGATGCTTGTTTATGTCACGCCTCAACTGAAACAAATACTAGCCCGTTTTGCAAAGCGAAATCGAGTATCATCCGTATACTTGAAATAGTGATTTGTTTTACTTACCACAAACAATTATCACGTTGACTGTTGCATATGTGTGATGAAACGGAAATGAATGACAAACAAATAAATAGAATTTCGAAATTTTAATGTGTGATCCGATGAATACAATATTTAACAAAGAGAAAAACTTGATGTAAATGTACTATTAGTATTTTATTTCTATACTATAGCATTACATTAGCGTATTTACGAGAAAAAAAATTTAAACATGAAAATGTTTTCGTCAGTAACCTAATTTTATATCGAGATCGGAGGTTTGATATTTTTAGTTTTTGAATTATTGTATATTTATCTCGTAAATTACTCATAGAAAATTGAACGTAGCTTGGCAAGCAGATATTTTTTAGTTTTGACAGAAACATTCGTACCTCTAATCTCGATTCAGGATTAAATACAAGAATAAGATAAAAGCACACGTAAAGACGATGCACTTTGAATTTAATTGATAATTTCAAGTTATTGATTGATATTGAAGTAATGCTTGTTGAATATTTGGTGGATAGTGTGAAAATTTTTCTTCATTTGTTTGTTGAATAAGAACAATAAAATCAGCTGCATCATCCCGAATATATCGACTCGATGCTTGATGAAGATGTTGTTTATCAATAAAATTATCAAGACCAATAGAATCATTCGTAAAATTCATTTGTCCTTGGCAAGATTGCATAATATGTTCTAACGGAGGGCTATTACTTTGATCCACTAAAATGAATTTCACATTACCACTAAAAGTGCTTGTAACTGGAAAATTCAGATGCACATGAAATGATATATTCTTATGGTCCCTTTTTCCATTCAAATAAAGACGAGCAAAGAAACTAAGATCGTTCATAGGTGTTTTAAACGAATATGAATTGATAAATAACTTTGTCAGAGATGTGGCATTTCGAATTTTCTCCGTTAATTTATCAATATGCCAAACGAGAGTACCATCTGTTGAAACCGGCTTTTCATCTAATTGACATTTAAGCAGCTTAAGCTGAGTTAGATGAGCTTCAACATCCTGAAATTGAGAAAAAGGTTTTTAAGAATAAATTTCATTCATGAATTTTTACATTAGATGGTGTAGCCGATGATGCATTTGTATGTTGTTCATTTTGTTGTATGCCATTGTTTGCATCGCTGCAGTCAGGCGGTGAAACAATTCGAGACAAAAGCAAATTGACACTCGCTTCATTGAGCTGTTTTTGCTCTTGAAGTAATTGGCGATTGGAAGCAGGGGTCAAATTTCGGTCCTCTTCTATAATTGAGTTTCTCACCAAAGAACTAGTTGAGCTAAGATCTATTGAAGTAATTAGTTAGAAAAAGAAATAAAAGGTTTCCATTAAATCTTACTCGGATTTAATGTAGGCAAACGATCTAAAACACTCATACTTTCATTTGATTTTGGCATATCCTCAGTTATCGTATGAATTATTGCCAACATGAATTTAACATGATCAAGTTTTAGAGAGATACTACCAGAATTTTCTCCGGGATTGATTGTTTCTTGAATAATAGCGTCCTCGTGAACACGTTGCACTTCTTCTAATATCTTCTTCATAGAGCTCCTATGTATCTCACTTTTATCATGATCAGGCTGTTCTTCTGTGAAAAACTAAACAGAAATAACTAGTACAGAAAGTAACAGGCTCCGATTAACCTACCGTATCCGTACACCCGTAATATGTGCACAATGAACATTGCATACAATTTTTTGAAGCCATTGGAATATTCAGTTGATGGTTTATTGTTTACCTTAACGACTTAGTACACCTTGATTCAATGAGTTTGTAGTAAACAGCTATAGATATGAAACATTATAGAAGCACTCAAAATTTCACCAATTCATACAGAACAAAGTATATTTTATGTATAAACTAATTTCATACTAGAACAAAATATTCTTCGACTGAGTTTCAAATACTTGATTTTCCAAAGTAGACGTCTCAACCAAACAATTGCGGACAAAATCTTCGTTAATGATTGGTTTTAAGAACAAACATTAACCACCTTCAACAAGATAGTGGGTTCATAGTCATAACTTAATTATGGGTGAACTATTCCATTTATTTTTGTAGCCATTGACATAGCACAGACAAAATTTTAGCGTATTCGTCAAAAGCTTGAACAAGATCATATCATTCAGTAGTGCAATAGAGAAAAATTACGAGCCACCTCACAGTCAGAACATCGCAGAGTAACAAGGCAGAAGTGAATAGAACAGCATGTCAAAATGAAACAGAATGCATCAAGATGGCATAGACAAATATAGGAGAAAAGCTCACCAATGAGCCTAAATACAGTAAGTCTTATACAAGGGTATAGCAGGTAGGGAATAGAACAAAATACGCTGGGATTATACTAGACAGAAGTAAAGTATAGTCGTAGTTAATTCATAAAAAATGGCATTATAGTGAAAGTGTTTCAAAGCGATGAATAAGCTGGCAAGCAACTTTCAACGAGGAAACATTAGTGGAAATAAAAATAAAAAAGCAGTCATAGAGGAAGGATTTGAAATAAAATTATATATTAATGAATGGAAAAAAAAACCATGTTGAGGTATTTTGTTCAAGTATCATACCTAAGAAGGTTTCGATTTTGTTCTATATTGCATGCAAAAACAAAAGTGTTTACCTGTCAAATGCAAATCAGCAAGTGGAATCGTTGTAAAAAGCAGTGTGGCTTTCAATAACGTTGCTGTTTTGTGTTTTGGAGTGTACTCTAAAATGTAGGAGAGGTTAATATTAATTGTCAGCATTACTATATGATGAAGATTTATCAAGCGTTGACAATAATAAAAATAAAACCATGAGGAGAAGAAAGGAAAGCAACACATAAAAATCTATAAGATAGTTTCAAATGTTAAATAGAGAAATTTATTGCTCGGTGCCGCCGATTGTTTCTATTCGATTATTTAAATCTTCTCGGATCATAATTTGAAGATGATATGCATAACGAAATCGAGTTTGAGCCAAATTATTCTGACTTTGATTCTCATAAGAGTTTCCAATCTCGATAATAGAAATCGATAAATCCCACATAATCAAACGAGTAATAGTACTGATCTGTTGTAAGATAGAAACAATATTTGAATAAGCTTCAATCCATGCACGATATTCTTCTGCACGCATATTAGGACAATATATATATAACTTGCTTACGAGAGGAATCAACCTAGATATGTGTGCAATATCTATTGAGTCAGAAAGAACAACGAAATGTGGATCCTCCTGATGGCTATGTATATGTTGTAAACAATTATCTATAGATTGAGAATTCTGGGTGATTCCTAGAACAGAGTTCAGATGATTGGATAGTTGATTCGGTGTGTTGGCGATTACGAGTAAATGCGGCCAAATACCTGAAATTATGGTAAATAAAGTAAACAGAGAAATTCTCATAAGGAAAAATATAAAACCCAGCTTCTTTGCCATTGCTAATCATAGAGAGCCTACTGTATTCTAACTAATGGTCACGTCCGTTTTTCATCATCGTTTTATTTAATCCTCCGGAAAATTTTAATAAGATCTTTGATCTGGTGTCTGCTTAGTCGGTTAGATGGATCCTCATTTTAACACTTCTACTACAATATTCTGACTGAGATCTTGTTTTTACACAAAATACATTTTCCGAGTACTTTCATACGTACCAGTATCTGAAAATTCCATTTGTTGGTTACGATGAGTATATGGAGTCACGGTCTGGCTAGATTCTACTTGACCTTGTGTTTCAATGTGATTCTTCAATGAACTATTTTCTTCAATACCAAATGGAATTTCAGCTGATTCAGTTGATATTTGAATATCATCATTCGGTTGATCACTATCATATCTATTCTTGGATAGACCCACAGTTACATTGAATTCGTAAGGTAACACGAACTTTTTTGATGATGGCTTTAGAAATGGATGAGTTTTGATTTGATTTAGTTGATATTTTTCTTTATCAGTTTTGAGATATTTACAAAGATCATCAATATCATCAGAAACAACTTTTATCTTATTGTAATTTTTTGTCCAAATTTCATGACGACTTTTAATTGCACAGAAAACATAAATTGAATTAATATACGATACATCATTAACAATGGGAACAAAATCTTTTCCCAACGAACCAGATACAATTAAAAATATTTGTTTTTCATTGGGTCGAAACTTATTAATGAAGTCGAAACATTTGTTTTCATCGGTAAATACAGCAATTGAATTGGTCACATGACCCAATTGATGATATGAATATTGATCATCTGATTGATCGTTATTGACAGATTTATCTAACCAGATTATTACGTAATCACTATCGTCTGTTAAAATACTTTCAGGATTGATCAATTTGCTGATATTGTATTTAAGATCAGTACCGATGTTGCCATTCAAACGTTTTATTCTCATAGACATCACCTAAACTGTTCTTTCAGTAATACAAAATAAGTAGCGTATGCTGCCGAACACCTACCTGAGTTGCACAGCATTTTCTTCTTCTTCTTCTCCTACTTCTGTAACAGTAGAATTTCACTCATTGGCTACTTTATATATTTTTTTTCGTCGACCAAAGTAAATTTTGAATGATTTTTAGTCTTTACCTTTGGCGATAAACAAAAAACAAACCACTCAGGTATCACGCGCTGTTAAAAATATCTTGAGAAATATATATGCTATAATTTTTCTTTTCATATTTTCGACCGTGATCAAACAGAAAAGAACAAACTATGCACAGAATAGCAAAATTTAAAGAGGAAGTATATTTGCATCGGTTTTTATTTTTGAAAAAATAACACAGCACGTCGTAAATAGATGTTGATGTGAGCGGCGTTGCTCGACAGGAGCGGTAAAATGATTCACCTCCTGAAAAAAACGGGGGTTGTGTCAACAATTTTCAAAACTAGACGAAGCTTCAGTCATGTTTCTATAACTCACTCACCTCGTATATGTGTGTTTCAATTATTTTGTGTAAGGCCATGCGGTAGTTTACTTTAAGCAGGGTATGAGCATCTTACATGATTGGATAGTGCAAGATTTCCAATTCAGCACGTAATACAATTCATACTCTTGAGTATAATTTCGTACGCCTATAGAGAATTTTTTCTGTTGAAAATCTCTTAATCTTATGTCCAATGAAGGAGACCTATTTTAAATGGTCTAATTGATCGACAGAAACAAACGACGATTTTGTTTTAGTAAGGATACCTGTAGACTTTTCGAAGAAAGCTTTCATCAAACATAAAAACCTACATTTTGAATGATGTGACCTTCGTAAGCTATTGACGCACATACTAGGCATATTTGATGGCAACAATATATCTGTAACATTTTAGGCTGATACTCCTAATCGTAATCCAACACAACCTAAAAAAAGTCTTGAAATTAAGTATTTATTTTACTCTAATTGTAGCATGAGATGCACATCGGATCAAAACAAAATCGTTGAATATCTTGAAATTTCTCTGTAGTTGTGTAGTTCTATCAACAAATCAATATTTTGTTTTTGATTGGAACAATTTATTCAAAGGAATGGAAATTTTTAAGAATTAAATTTTGTATTGAAATTGATTCTAACAACCGGAATATACCATAAAATAGGTTTAGGCGTGCACTGAAAGCTATGGTTGAAATATGAAAAAGAATATCAAAGATATTACGTCATATGATACACAAGCTTTGACTTCTTTCAATGTAATTCCAAGACTTCTAGACCGACAACAATGTTGAGATTACCTGAAATGCATATATTGAATATTGAAAATAATGGAGATCGCATCTAGCGCCCTCTATAAAGCAACAGCGTTCTCATTGTTGACGAGTTCGTCGTCAGGTAATGTTTGAAGTAAATGAAAACTATTTTCAGGCAGTATATGTTAAGAAAAAACAATGTTTGACGATTCACGAACAAAAGCTCGCGATTTTCTTGAATCGTCGTCTATTGTATCTGAACTTGAAGATGTTCTCAATCATCTTGTTTTCGAAAAGCCCGATGATCTTCACGGTTATCTTGTAAGTTGAAAAACTTTGGTCTAAAACTATTCCTATGTTGTTAAACTTATGAATGCCTGTAGGCAAATCATTTTTTGGGTCAAAGCAAACAACCACAAATTGTTAATTTGACATTCAGACAATTAATAGGTCCTGCTAGTGAAGCAGCAATGAATATTGATCTTACTATTGCACTTAGAAATAGAACTGAAGTAAGACAAAAACATAAACATGCAATAGCTTTTAGCTAAAAATCTATTTTTACTTTTTTTCTTATAGCGACATCGAGGACTTACAGTAAATTTATTACCAGGTAAATCTCATAAAAATATGGCCAAACAATTAGAAGATTTGGGTAATGATTGTAATCGAAAGTTGATAGATTTTTTTTCACTATTATTCTTTATTTCTTCAGCCAATTCAGCATCACTAATGACATTTCTTAATCGAATTGACTTATACGATCAAACAGCAATTGATGAACACCTTGTGTATTGATCTTTGCTTGCTTTTTATTTGAGCCTTTCGATTTTCTTGTTCTACTCTTCTAGGGATTTCCGTTCAAAGCGTTCGTCTGAAATGGCAAAAATATTAGCAGTTGAGTCTGAAAATTCAAATAGTGAATCTACTGCTACTGCCACATCAACAAAAACACCCAATAGTACACGTGGACCTGCGAGTGCTGGTGGAATTAAGGGCGGTACAGCTCCTCCACCAAGTAAAAAAGCGTAAGTTACATATAGTCTCCGTTCGAAAACTTTTTATGTTTTACAGTATGAGTAAAGATATTCAATCGATTGAGATTCTTGCCGATGAACCAGAACCATTATCATATGCCGGTCAACTATTGACAACAGGTATATCATTAACATGTCTTTTACTTACTGCTCAACTACAACAATCAAATTTATTTCGCCTTATACAACTTCCATCGATTACTAATCTTTCCATGCCATTACCAATCATACCTATTCTTCAAAGCGGACCAACATGTCCGGGTAAACAAGCACTCATTAAATATTTTATGCTTATTCCAACGCCCAATGTTACACACAATGACGAGGTAGAGTATATTGATTTTGTTTCTTGTTTTTGTTTTATTTCAATTACATAGTGGATCCATAAAGTACATAATATTATTCAATTTCTACGTGATTCATTAGCAAGTACAAAAAGTGCAACTGTATGTTAAACGAAGAAAAACAAACCTATTTTCTTATTTATTTTCAATTTTAATTCTATTTTCTCAGCTTCAGTCAACATTTTCTACTGATGATGGTTGTCTTGTTTTTCCCATGGATAAACCCGAACAAGGATTTGATTTACTTCAAAATGCTGTCAATACTGTATGTGGCACTGATGAGCACTACTTTGATTATGCCGTACAAATGGGACCGTATGAAACATTTGATTATGTGAAAGATTTTCTTTTCCTATTCTTTGTCAATTTTTATATATATGATTATTATAGATCAGGGGACGATATGAAGTAGCGACTGGTTTATTAAAAACACCCGACGAATTAGTTGATACTTATGCTGATTGGATTGAAGCTTATCCTCGTTGTATTATGCTGATTGATCCTTTTCGATATGCTGTAAGACTCTTTTTCTAGTTGAATTTTATTTTCAATAATGAGAAAAATTAATATATCTGTAGGATAAACCATCCTTATCTCGTTTATGCGATCGAGTATCAAATAAATGCTACGTAACATCAACCGATATACGTCGTTATCGAAACGAAAATAATAATGATGATGATCAAAATACAATTAATTGTCATTTGTTATCCTTAGATAGTGGTCCAACAATGACTGAGTTCATACAACAAGCAAATGCATTGCGTGGTAAATAGTTGACTTTGGTTTAAACAAAAAAAAAATATATATATATATATATATGAATTCTATTCTTTTTTTAATAGAAACTAATGGCTATGCCTTGGGATTATTTGAAAGAGATCATCAAGAAGTTGCGCAAGTTCATTTAGCAGATATGGTATGTAGATTAACATTATACTAAAATTTGAATTGTTATTTATTTGATGTTAGGCTGTTGGTTTCGGGTGTCGCTTTATCAAGCTTCCAGGTTTTCTTTCATTAGGTGGCCAACGAACATCTGCTATACTTCAACGTCTTTCTATAATTCGGGATGAAATCGAAACCAACGATGGCGATCAATTGGAATGGCCTAAACAGCATGAATTCATCCATATTCGATCGTCCATTGATACAACGGAATCAGAAACAATTGTTTCGCCGACTCCTACGAATGCGAAAACTAAAGACAAGAAAAAACGGCCCTAAACGAAGTTGTAAAGAAAGAATAAAAAAAATACAAAGAGAGAAAAAAAAGGAAATTGAGCGGCATGTGTGTCTATATTCATTTTGTTATCTTCAAGTATAAAGATTAGTATGTGTGTGAAACATGATAGCATTTTGGTAGGAGTAACAAAAAGTTGACTTTTGGATTTTGTCGTTCGTGTTTTTTTTATTCCATTTTTTTTGGTCACATGATAACGAACAAATGACAACAACAGGTTAGTAGCGTAATATTATTTCATTAGACATGTTGGAGTAAATGGTTACATGAAATAGGGATTTCTTTGATTTATGAAAAACGAAATATTTTTGTGTAAAGAATGGAGGAATGACAATCCATTGGTATTTCGATTATATTTTATAAACATTGGTTTCTTTTAGTGTGGGCATGGGGATTGTAGGCAGTATATACCGCTAAAGTGTTGAATTCAATAAGATTTATTGAACGTACAAAAATCAAATTTCGTGTTAAGACTGAGCAAAATTACAAATAATTTCTAAAACTGTTTTGATTTGTATGCATTTGAGTCTGAATTGTATGCTACTCGAACGTCTTTACTTTCGTCTGATTTTATCACAACTACGTTATCATTGTGTGTATTACTATAGATGTTGATCAATAAGAATGCAAGGCTACTGGTTGTTATAGAATGTTTTTTAAAAGAACTATATTCTATTTCGTTGTATAGAAAATTAGGTTCAACAAGTTCAGATTTACATATGGTTAGACATAGGGTCGGCCTGTGGTACTTGTTTTCTATTCACCTACAGAAAAATACTCTTATCTATTAGCTATGATGACACAGTATTTTCATGTCACTGGAAGTTTTGAAGAAAGAAGCAATTTTGTTAGATTAATTGATGACTACAGTTCTATTAGTTTCCGAGATGAATGGCTTCTATATTTCATCCGTGGTTAGTCTCCTGATATATATAATCGAGTTGCAGTATCGATAAAAGAAATCGGAACATTTTCATCGTTCGAAAATCCCTTAACTGAAAGTCTGCTCATCATATAACTAGTTATATATTAGATTGACATATGTGACAATGTTAATTTGGAAATTTTCAAGCAGTCGAAACTTAACAAACAGCTCTTATTGACGCTCATATCTGCCCGAGATTTCAAATCAAATTTCGAAAATTAACCTTGCTATTGTTTTCTTCTTGCGACTGACGAATCAATTTCGAAACATGTAGTATGTTCAGATTAAACAGCTAATAGACTCTCCTAAGTGAAGTATAGAAAGTGTAGGTATTTCGTAGGTTAGTATTTTCAAACGTAAATTCTTTTTCTATTTCTAGTACGATCAAATAAACTAACCGGTCCAACGACATCGGTGAGAGCTAAAATATTTTCTTTCTTTTCGAACATATTCAACTGAGCAGATATACACAGGATGTTGATTTCGCCGCAGCTGAAATTCTCGCCATCAATGCGGGCCACTACGTTCGTTTCGCTTTAGACAAGCCAGTGTTACGGTAAGTAAGATATCAAAAACAATATCGTAGTTGTATTTTTCAAATAATATATTTTTCTTTTATAGACTATATAGACTTAGCTATTCAAAATTATGGTATTGGATAGTATGGTTAGCCGATGTTTCTTTACTTTTATTGCCATGCATCGAACGGCCAGCTTATTTTTCTGACGTTCCACCATGGGTGGCTCTGATTGTTGAGATATTGACTTTGGCAATACTTCTTGCTTCATTTATTTTATCAATGCACTTGCAAAATAAACGAAAATTATTACGTGAAGCTGTCTATCCGTATATATTTGTCGGCGTTTTTCTGGTAAATATCTAAATTTATACTTCTTAATATTAGAAAAACTAGCATATTATCGAATTGGCTTTAGTTAACAACTATTGATATGCTTATTTATTATATATTAACATTACGTGGTCATTACTATGTTCGATGGTCACGGCCACTACGCGTTCTTTTTCCGTTTGCTTTGCAAGCTGGTCAGAATGTAAGTGACTGCTTGAAAAGAACTTGTTTTCTTTTGCATCAAAATGTATTTGAATAGGTTCGTCGTGTTATTCGAAATATTCTTCGAACATTACCCAATATTGCTAATGTTATGTTTCTATTTCTATTTTCCGTATTAACATTTACTCTACTAGGTGTTGGTATCCTAAAAGCTAGGTGATATTAATTGATAATGAAGAAATATATTTCAGAGTCGAATATTCTCTCGTTTCTTTTTTTTAGGCAACTTCAGTATCCAGGTTCAACTGGATCTGCATATTTTACAAACTACTTAGATACAGCTTGGGATCTATATGTACTTACAACAACAGCAAATAATCCTGATGTCATGTAAGATAAATAATAGCAAGTGACATTTAAGAGATATAATAGATATCCGTTAATAAACTTCACATTCATTGCACATAGAGGTGTAAGCCGAGCGGCTGAGCCGCCGCCGTCATATAAGCAGGAATACTCAATTTTTGAATATTTTCGATACTCAGAAACAGTCTTCAGGATCCTTTTGATCAAACTCTTAATAAGAACGTTCTCTATTATTATTTTTCCCTTTTCTGTTACATAATTCTCAAAACTACGAGAATTTTTACCAATAGCTTCTAAAGATTTTGAGCCGCCACCGGCGCTGACCGACGCGTCGGCTTACACCTCTCATTGCACATAGCATGTCTTATATTTCTTTCCGTTTGAAACCAATATAAAAAAAAGAAATATTTTCCTCACTATTTGCACTGAAGATTCCATTGCGAAAAATAATCTCTGTTGATTGTTGTAATTCACGTAAACAAGATTGTTGACTCTTGATCCTCTATAAATAGGATGCCAGCATTTAATGCCAGCATTCTGTACGTTATCTTCTTTATGGCTTATCTATTAGTTAATCTTTACTTATTTATGAACTTATTGTTGGCCGTCATTTTTTCGAATTACAAACAGCATCTACAGGTAAACATAGTTTTTTTCAAGAAAATTATTTTATTCAGATGAGTTTACGATTCATCCAGGACGAACAACAACTAGTGCATAAACGACAATTAGATACTCTTATAGTTATATTTGAACATTTATCCTCTCAAGAGACAACTAGTTGTATATCATTCGAAACATATTCGCGTTTAATGCGTGCTGTAAAACCGGAAATAGGAGAAAATCTCATTGAAGCTTATTGGACAACGCTAGACGTACCTAATAAAGAACATGGATTAAGTATGACATTGCAAATAATGAATCAAAGAAATAAACACTTCTGTTCTATTCATATAGATTTAAAACAATTCAATGAACTTTTATTAAATCTAAATTTTGAATTAGTACAACGAAATACTGATAAAACAATACTACAAAAATATTTACCATCAATTTATAATTCAAAACCAAGTCGAATTATTATTGATTTTGTTAATTCAGAGTAATGAGCGTTTCCGTTTTATCTAAAACTAAATATTTTCTTCATGAAAACATTTTAGTCTTTTTCGAGCCATAATTAATTTATTAATTGTTGGTAATGCTGTATCTTTAGCAGCAAGTTACAATGCGTTAGAATGGATGTTCCTATCTCTATTTATTCTTGAAGCTGTATTAAAAATGTATGCCATTGGTGTAAAGGAGTATTTTCAACATCGATGGAATATATTTGATTTTGCAATTGTCTTTGTATCAACAACTTACAGTTTACTCGCGGCTATTATCGACAGTTGTAAATATAAAAAACAAGTCTCATTTCTCGTTGTACTGTTGTTTATTATTTATTTTAGTAAGTCTTAATCGAGAGGTGCTTGATGCGATTTTAGTTATTCGAGTACTTCGTCTTGTGAAACTAATTGGAAATGTTGAACGGTAATTCATTTAGCATTGTTTGTAGAATATGTATCTAGAGAGAGATATTTTGATAGGTTCAAAGTTATTTTTGGAACATTTTCAAAAGTTATACCGACATTAATTACTTATCTTCGAGTGATGTTTGTAAGTCAAGTATAATGGTTTTTGAATTTTAAAATTGAATCACAAATTCTATCTAGATGACTTATTATGTATTTGCAATGATTGGTAAGTAATATGAAAACTTTAAAAATAAAAAACTAATAGTTAAAACTACTTTTGTGTACTCAAAAAGTGTGTACACTAAAATCGGTCAGTGTGTCCGTCCGTTCGTCCGTAGGCACGATAACTTTCGAAAGGAGAGTCAGATCATAATGAAATTTTCCACCCAGTTCAATCTCATGAATATCTCGGTCGAGTTCGAAGATGAGAAGGATCCCTCAAGAAATGGTTGAGTTATCGAAAAAATTGTCATTTTTGACCAGACCATCCCTGAGGAGGGGTACAGGGATTTTTTTCAAAAAAAACCTTTTTCTCAGAATTATGCGCAACATATATAAATCGACTTAGTTTTTAATGCTGATTCCGAATCTGATATTAGTTTTGAACTAAATCGTAGCTTTCTGATGAAACATCGCCTGAAAAACGTCTAAAAATGCAAAAAACTTCATCCAGAAATCAAATTGCCTAGTTTCTCATGATAATTTTGATGTTCAGACATTCTAGAATGACTCATATGTCGCATGCACTTTTTGCAGTACACATATCTCTCGGATGAAATCCGAAGTTTCCACATTTATTTTTTTAAGGAATGGAAACATTTCAAGGAAAAATAGTTCAATTGAAACAAAACGATACATTAGCTGAAGTTTGTAATGATACTCGACTCAATGGTACAGAATTTGCAAGGTACATTGATAATAAACGAGGTATATATATATATATATATATGATATTTTATTTATGTTTAGAGCTCAATATTGTCGAAATAATTTTAATGATTATCTATCATCGTTGATTCTTCTTTTCGAATTGACTGTAGTCAATCAATGGCATGGTAAGAAAACACGTATTGTAGCAATGGAATATTTTTATTTTAAATCTTGCATATAATATGAATCGTGAACAGTTATTCATCAATCAATAATATATTCCCTAAATTAGACTTTTACATTCAGTTGTCCGTCTCAATATTGAAAATATTTGTTCTCTATTTTAAGTTTTGGCGGGTGGTTTTGTTACTGTAACCAGTAAAGTTTCACGTCTTTTCTTTCTCGCCTTTCATTTATGTGCTGTTATTGTGGTGCTCAAGTAATGTTCTCTATAGTATATATGTTATCTCTTCATTGTAAATTATTTTCTACCTATTTAGTATCTTTACAGCCTTTGTAATTGATTCATTTCTTAATCAATATACATTATCGAAGAGTAAAGAATTTCCGTGGATTCAACAAGAGAATATTATTTCTGGGAGACTCAAACGAAAAGGTTATCGAGTTATTCGAAGGTAGGAATATAAAAATAGTCTCTTTTACTTATTTCATTCGGATTTCTTCTTATAGATATGACAATGCAGAACACTCTGAAGAAGTGACGAGGGGAAAGTTTAGTTTTCTCAAAGCACTTCAAGCATTCATAAGACCGTCTGTTTATCGTCGTATGACAGTGGTTCTTGAAACTATGCGGGATGAAGAACGTACTTTACTTCTTCGTTGGTCTGGCCATGTAGATACTGATCCTACGGCTTTGCTAAATCTGACGAATGAGGCATCTTAAATACATACTAGCTTAATATCGTGTTGAAAAAATGATGCTTTTGCTGTTGTTCTTTTTACATCGAAAAGAGATAAAACAAAACCAAAAGCACTTTTTATATTTAAGAACACTCTAGTGTATGCAAAGCCAACCAAACGTTAGTTCATAGTTTCTACGGGATTCTGTCATAACGGAAACGTAGAGTGAAAGAGACACTTGACGTACTTTTGGTTCTCTGCTTTCGATTATGGAAACGTTTTAATGAAGCGAAAGAAACTCAAAAGTAATCCTGTCCATGATTTTATGTTTGCCAGTTATATTCGAGCTATTAACCTTCCAAATCCGACAAAATACTAGCTGACCAATATATTATTTTGACTTAATTAAATGGCAGTAAAGATTCAGCTTCTATGATCAGTTCGCCACTTCAGAGTCACAATATTATCAGTCGTTGAATATCCAGTTTATAGACTAATCCATAGCGGCTTCAAATACTCTACAGCACTATTTTTAGCCTCCTAGATGAGTGTGATGCCTGCAGTAGTTTTTTTTATTGGGTTTATTGGTAAACTCAAACAGCAACAGTCATGTACTCGATAAATATGATTCATCTCATGAGTATTTTACGATTGCATACGATACCCATATAGCATGATTCGCCTTTGGCGCATTTCTTATGATAGATTGATATGAAATTGTGGTTTCACAATTTTTGTGATGATAAAGGTAAAAGAAATTGAATCAGATAAATCCTTCATTCAAGTGAAGAATTCTATGTTTCAATATTGCGTTTTCGAAATTTCTAGCCCTAGACACATTGGTATGTGTTGATATGTATGAAACAAACAAATTGATGATAATAATAATAGAACATACTAAGTACATCAATACAATTATTGATTCAATACTAATTAGAAAAATATTTTCAAATAAAACTTTGCAATTAACGTTTGTTCTTATTATCAATAAGATGATTAGTAACAAACATAACAACAAACACGATCACATTCCAGCTAACAGCGAAAAACATAGGTAAAATTCTGCAACAAAATGTTTATTTTCTTCAAAATCGAAAAACTAAAATTTCACCTCGCGAGAATAGATTTAAAAAAATGTGGAAATGTATTTAAAAAAAGTCACACACAACACAATATCAATATACAATTTTACCAAAAAATGCCGAGCATTACACTTTGCTTGTTTACCTTGAGTTTTCGTTACAAAATGCTTGACTTCTAGCGTAAAAGTCAGTCATATGCATTTTAAGAACTAAAATTCTGACGTATTTTCAACCGGTACACGTATTTTACTTGGGAACTAAAAACGAAATCAAATAAATGAAATTTGTTTTTGTATAAATTTGAATAAAATAGCTTACTGTTTTTGCAGTAATCCGAACAGAAACTTGCAGGTATTATCACGATTCTTTCAAGTGAGAAAAGCTTATACCATAAAACGGCTTGAGTAAGTAGGAAACAAATAGCAAAAATAACATTCAAATTGAATTGATTGCTCTCATGAGTAATGATCTTTTCTGGTGTAGGTAATGGCATTTCAAGTTTAGGTAACGCTATTTCAAGTTTAGGCAACATTGTGTCTGTGACTGATGGAATCTCTTCGATTTTTTCTTCAGGTGCAATTATATCAGTCGCTTCTTTTGTAGGTGATTCTTGTTGAGGCTGAGAAATTCGTTTCTCAACAGATTGACGATCACTTGCTTTTCTTTGTTCAGCTGCAAGCCTTCGAACTGAAGCAAAAAGAACCATTAATCTTCATATGATAGCCAATAGAGTAATCTACCTCGATCACTGACTTCTACGCCTACCGAAGAGATTATATTCTTTTCTATGATTGCTAAAAATAGACGAAAAAACATTCAACTATGAAATTGAAAATAGTTCAGTTATTTTTTATTACCTCTAATAAAGACGTTGACATATTTAATAAATTTTGGTTCGGCGGAAATTAGTAATGAACTATGCTCAGCATCTTTTTGTACCATGCAGAAACGTGTTAGAATATAAAAAGTATCTGCATATTTCATTCCTTCACTATATGCCTCAGTAGTTACAACGTAGACTGAATGGGGTTTTTCTTCTTCCAATATCTATAAAAAAAATTTGTGCGAGAGGAAAATTTACAAGAACAAAATACGCATATACACATACGTGTCTTTCTCGACATTGAATCATATTGGTACCGAGAATAGATTGATTAATTGTTCTGTATTTTACTGTACGCTCTCGTTTGCTATTTGTAGTATTTAAAGTCCATTCACCAAAAGTATAATCTACGTGAAAAATCGAAATAGTTAGTACTATTATATAATAACATGGAAAACTACCTAGATATTTTTGTTCAGCAAAAAAGTCACGTGTACATGAATTGTCACCGAATATTAATTCATAAAGTGTATCAACATCAAAATTAAATGTTTGATTAATGTATGTTTTTGCCAGATGATTTTCACATAAACAACTACTGGGACAAGTTAAAGTGTCAATGTCTAGATAGAATTAAAATGAAGTTTTTTAACAATTTGATAGCTAAATATTTTCACCAGATTTTGATGAAACAGTACCATTAGAAGAGTCCAGTGGTTGCGGTAATGAGTTCGATGATCTTGCTGATGATGGCGATTCAGATTTTGATACACCGTTTGAAATTGCAGGATTTGATTGCGAAACATCATTGAACTATAAATAATTTTTACTTGAAAAACAAACGGAAAAGTAAATGAAATTACTCTAGCTAAACACAGACGCATTTTTACTCTATTCTGAAAGTATTTTTTATACGAACATCTAACCATTGATTCATTAGGGATGTACTATTCAAAATGTTCTTTTCCAGTCTCTTAAAGTTCTTCTTCGTTGTTACAAGTCCAGTGTGAAATAGTTGATTTTGGAAAAAAAAGTCAGCTCTTTTCCTAATCATTTGTTAAATTGTGCCCTCAAATACAAATGAATATTTAAAAAAACACAACAATAAACAAAATCTAATCCATTTTTAAGATTGGTTTCAAATCAGCAAGAGAAAAAAATGAAGTTCGATACCAATAATATTAGATAATCAAAAACAACTCACTTTACTCCATGAGAAAATCCACTACTCAATGTTACCCTACTTTTCTCTGTTTCGTTTCCTATTCGGATGTCGTTACTGGTTATTCCCTGAAGTGCATATCAAAACCATTGCCTTAATTTTATAGTCTATATAAATCATAATTTCGGCACTGTTCCAATGGAGTGCAACATATGCACGTATGCTGCACTAATTGCATACTGATATGCGTGGGTAGAGCACGGCACATAAGGTAGACGATTGACTTTCAAGTTTTGATACGTCAAATCAATAACTAAAGAGAATAAAATGAATTCTCTTTTTTTTCTCAACTATAAGTGTAGATATGGCTTTCTAAGTTCAAAAATTAAGTGTAGAAATCCAATATGGATTTTGGGAAATAGTGATTCGGACAAATAAATTAGACATGCATAATAAACGAAAAATAATTTAGAACTTAGGAAAAGGGCTTCCTAACTATTTTAGTAACGTTGCCTGTTTTGAGAACACGGTGACCAGGTCATCCTCACCCTCAAGATACACTTCGGACTTAGAGTTTCCGTTTAAGAAAAAGCTTTTGTTCTTCTATTACAAAATTTTCGACCAATTTTCGTAGACCCGTATTTCACCAAGGTGTCGCTGGTGAATAGTCTGTTCTCTTTTCTTGTTTTTCTCGTATTTTCCCTATCGCCTAGCTGTCAATCAATGACCACGTAAACAAAAATTGGTGACAGCGTGTGATGCACCCAATAAATTATCCTTGCAATTTGCACTATGTTTTACGTAAATTTTCTAACCCTTAACCTATTGTAATTAGTATGATAGGGTGATTATCGTAATCTATAGTGTCAATTAAATCAGAAAAAGAAATACAAAAGCAAAGTCGTCAAGTATCTATTATATTCAAAGTTGGAAATAGCATTCCGATCTATACAAACTCAAGGACATATGTCACATTCATTTTTCAGTTACTCTTCGTCGTGTAAATAATTGTTGCAATTATTTTCCAATACAATTCGACGATTAATAATTGTTTTTTATCACTTAACGTTTGTGTAACCAATTACATAGAACAAATCGCACAATACTAGACCTGTATAATTGCACATTTAACTGGAGCAGTGTGATGAGGCAGTTTTAATATCTATTTTTCACACCTATTATTCATTGACAGTCAACTCTTGAGAAGAGGGCGTGAACAAAAACAAGAAGAGAAACGGGCCATAAACGATGAAAACAAAATGCAATAAACTATTCGCCTAATAGATCGCAGAAAATGTATAGGAGCAATGCAGTAGAAAATCTCCACAATCAGAAAAATATATGCAATTATTTTTATCGACAGGTAATATCGATAAAAAAAGTGTTTTATAAAAAATAAAAATATCTTCGAGATGAATTTAAGATGTTTTTACTGCTATTGATTTCATTGACTATCAAAGTAATAATTTTAACTCATTTTATTTAGTTCGATCCCATACAATAACCTCGCGACCTTTAAAAGCGCAAGATTAATAGATACACGTATGATCAGTTGATATTACTTGTAGTGATTTAATAATCGACAGAGAATAGCTTTGAGAGGATAAATACTCTATATGATAAAAAGTCAAAATATATTACGAAAAAACGGTGATCAGCAAATTACGTATGGGAAGGAAACAAACGATATTTTTAAAAGAAAATAAATACACATAGGCCCCGTCCAGTTCTGCTTTTGTTAACGAACTGGTCATCCAAAGTAATCAAGTATATTTTTACCTTATGAATATAATCGTCGCTATTCACTGTATTAATGTCTTCTTCGCTATCAATATTTGATTCACTAGGACTCCGTTGGTCAACAACAATGATCGCTCGTAACTGATGAAAATCTAATGGCTAGAAAAAGAACCGATGAGGTTATTTTTTTTCTTCTCTTAATGATAAAATAAAATAATATTACTCGATCGAGTAGAGCATTTTGCCACATACGAAATATATTGGCGAAAATTTTTTCTCTTGGTACATAGCAAGCAAATAAATATTCATCGTCGTTTTTTGTTCGCAGTTTAATGGCATTTGGAATAATAACTGCAGATTCCTCTCTTGTAACACTAGTTATATCTTTATAAGGAATTTGTACCTATATGAATGAGATTTTCTAGTCGTATATAAGAATAAAAAAAGAAGGATATGACAATAACTTACACTTTCTTCCGAATGTAGAAAGCATGCATAAAAAGATAGATGATTCGTTGAAAGAAAAACACGTCCATGCATAAATATCTCTTTTTGCCAAGCACAGGGGTAAGCTAAAAAATGATGATGTATAATAACGATATTGAACGATATATAACATACCAATAACTAACTGTTCTTTAGATGATACATTGCCGAATATAGTATGAAAATCTTCATCGCGAATTTGAAAATTCTATAAAAAAAAATAAACGATTGAGAATATTAAAACTTTGATATGAAATTCATCTAGAAAATTTATCAAAATTTTAACAAAACAACGAGGAAATCTCTTTTTTCTGTTTTTAATAATAAACAATCATACCTTTGTTCGATTTTTTTCAGTTTGTGTTTTTAAACTTGATCGGTAAGGTATTTCAAGAAAGAAAGTATTTGTTTTGAAGAATTTTAATTCTAATTCATCTGTCTTTTTATTCATTTTAATTGGCACAGAATTTGCTCGTAATTCAAGACCGTTTTCGGGACGGTGAACTTTTTTATTTCCATTAGCCAATATAGAATTGTGCAAGCCCTTCGCAATCTTGTCATCTAAAAATTTACAGTATTTCATATTTTCACATATCTTATTTAAAAGTTTATCATATACTTTTTTCATGATCATTGTCGATTGAATCTTTATTGGTTGTCATTTCATCCAAAATTGACAGCGATGCTGAACTTCGATGAAAACGAACTGAGTGTCCAATTTGTTTACGTTCACTTCGAGTTGACTTCTGACCTTGTGATTTATTGCTCTTGCTACTTGTATATCCATTTATGTTCACCGATGATGCATCGCCAGGTGAATCCGGTGAATTTAATTTAGCTAGTTTGTTTCGATGCACTCTCGTTTTTAAATGATTCATAATCGATAAAAATTTTTGATTTGAAGGTTCATGTTGATGATTACCATTTTGCAAAGGTTCGTCTTCAACCTTTACTTTTTCACCTTCATGATTGTGATGCGACATAAATTTCAAATTATGAATACGCACACAGGTAAGAGTTAGGAAAGCAAACGAGTCGGCGACTTTATATTCTGTTTATTTTTCACTTCAATGATTGCATCCCACGGAAAGCAGCACACATTGTAAATGTATACACATAGATATGTCTTTTCCTTTTTCTACGGCAAGTCACATATGCATGATTTGTTCCAATAGTACGATATACTGCCAACGTCTTAAATGCGTAACAAAAAAAAGTAAACAATCATCTGCATACTTTACGAACGGAAAGTTTGAGCAGATTCGTGTGATGTAGTCATTTCGGTAGGCGTATGGATATTTGCGTGTTTTCTTTTAACCATTGTCTTTCACTGCCATCTATTGATGATGTTTGAATAGAAATTTTATAATTAAAATAGCAACTATGTTATGAGAGGGGACGTTGCTGGAGAGCCAACTATTATAGCTATCATGGTTGAATTTTTATGCTCGTGTAAATCAGTGCTTATGATTTCTCCGATGTAAACAGAACACTTTTTTTTGCATAATTTTAATTGAATGAGTAAGTATAAAGATAGCTACAATAGAAATTTATTTTTGTATTCGAGTAACGAAGCACTTCGTAAGGATATATTCGATTAAAAGAAATGTGTAAAAACCTTAGGAATAGTTCTCTGTCAAAAAATTAAAAAATTCTAATTTTCTTGCTACGAGAAAAGCATTATATTTTTCTCATATATTAATCACGTTTAACAGCAACCAATGAGTCTTTTTTCAAGAATTGCCTATTTCTTTTTTTGGTTTTTATGGAAAATATAAATATCCATTTAATCATATTACCTGACGTTCACAGCTTGTATTGATTATGAATTCATGAAAGAAAATTGTTCCCTAACCATCGCACACGTCTTTTCTAGAAAAAATTTTTACGTTGATACCTAACAATTGACTTTAGTATCCATTGTTAAAAATGTTCGAATGAAGACAATGTTTTATTTAAATAAAATTTTGTTAGAAAACATACTTTAACAATATTTAGTGAAACAAAGAATATATCAGATGCATGTAAAAAGAAAATTTAATTAATTTGAGAGAGACTTATCGTCAAAGTAATCGATCTTTGATTGTAATCTTAATGTGAAGCCTCATCTATTGTATTTTTATAAGAAACATTTCATGGTATATGATCGATAGCTTCTATCTATATAGGTGAATATCAATCAAAGAACAAATGAGAACACTTATACCTATCCTTGCTCTTATTTGTTCTTCGCATGAGCAATTGTGATTATAATAACTCTCTTCTATACTATTCGATTGTTAATGTATGAAATCGCATATATCTTATTTTAACTCTGTCACATTCGCTTATTTCTTCATCTAATATACCATGCATAAGAAGTATCTCGTACGCTCACGACTATGTTGTCGCCCTTCGGAGCGAAAAAAAAATTAAAGACGTAGACGACGAAAGATAAGAGTGAGAGAAAGAGGCGGGGTGAGAAGGATGAGTCTAATGAAGACGAGAGAAAAAAAGAATGAAGTAATACTTCAGTAACAAGAGCACAATATAACATTCAATAAAGTTACGATAAACATAAACTTAACATTAAATTGGTGGTCCGAGAAAACCCGGAGAGTTCTGTCCACCTCCTGTCCAATCTGTAAATAGATTTTGAGGTACTCCTCGAAATGACGAATGATTTAGTTGGACTGGATTTGCCATACCCGTTGACGTGGGAACAGAAACTCCTATATTATTATAAATAGGTCGAAATTGAGGAGGCTGTTGTGGTACATATGACGTGCCCATTGGATAAGGAGAAGATACATACGGCGGCACTAATTGTGCTGCTACCTGCGGAAACATCATTGAAGTAGGAGGTACTAGTACTTGTGGTGATATCATTACAGGTGAATATTGTGGCATCATGAACGGTTGACGTGATGATACATAAGGGTAGGAAGAATAATTATTCAAAGGATACATAGGATAACTATTGTAGAGTTGTGAGAAAGAGAAAGGATATGAACGCGATGATTGCATATATACAGGCATTGGTGGAGTAAAATTTCTTGAGCCATACGAAGATCGACGTGAAACATGATATTGACTTGGTGCAATAGGTTGCGTTGTTGGAGCTAGTCTAACTCTTCTTAATAAACTTCTTCTGCGTCGTTTTCCTCCTGGAATTCCGCTCCGTCGTCCTGGCGATAAATTTCTTGCTTGTCGTGCAGATTGCGGTTTTGAGCTGCCGAGACCCATTGCTTGATTGACGATACAAATCTTTTTTTTTATACTACTAAGTACATCAAGTAAGGGTTTGTTTCACGTATATTCAACAGGAAAAGACAAAGAATAGCACGTAAGCATGAGAAGTAAGCAATTGAAAAGAATAACGAATAAGCAAAAGCATGGAGAAAGAATAGCTACTCAGCCAGAACGAGAAAAAAGTACACACTCGTCTGAGTGACAAAAATCAAGTGTACAAATTGTAACGATAATTTAATTCACAATATTTACTCGTATCCTTTTTTTTAAATTTCGCTCTATTTATTCGTGACATCCTATCTTTTTTTTATGATTTTTAGTACAGTTTTTTCGGACGTTTACGAGAGAGAAAGATAACGATAGCATATAGAGAACAGAATACAAAGAACAGGAAACAAACAAACAAACTGGAGAGGCAGTGATAACGAATCTACGTGTATTGAACTGCCTTCTTTCTTGACTATTCTTCCATTATCGAAAATATCTTTGAAACCAAAACACCGTGCCAGGGGAAGGAATCGAATCTTCTGCTATCTGACTAAATCAGATGCATAGAAGCACTACGCCATCCCTGGCATTTACTCCTATCTCTCTGTATCTGTGAATAAAATGTAAGCGGCAAACATTAGAATAACATGCATGCTCATTATTCAGATAATATATATACTGTACACTATGCTTGGAAAATCTAATGAGACATTACCAAAAGCAAGAGATTCATTTTATGATGATGGTGACGGCAATGGTGATGACGATGATGAAAATTCCACAGTACCAGCAACACCCGTCATTTCATCAATACGTATAGTAGCTTCTAAGCCACCTATCTATCGTCAACAAAGTCAGAGTAGTAGTTCACCATCACGATCATCATGTGATACGGATCATGATGTAACCGATGTATCATCGATTGGCGGTGAGCATCATCAAGTGCAACAACAACGGAATCACCAACGACAACAGCATCAACAGCAACATCAACATGAAGATCATCAACGAAAGCTAGATCATGATCCGCACCATTCATTTCAGCTGCAATCTATGCGACATGTTTTATTAGGTTCATCAGTTCCAACTAGTCGACCACCATCTCCTGCAGATCCTCAACAACATTTAACTAAGAAACAAGTTCGAATCGTTGCTGATGATACAGACAAAGACCTTCAAAATCATTCTCAACGAAGCCTGCGCCATCATCATCATCATCATCACCAACAACAGCAACCTTATATTCATGGTCATACAAAAGATTATCGTCGAGTTCGTCTAACTTCATCAGCAATCAATCGTCAAAAACAGCAGCAAAGAATTGAACGTGAAAATTTGGTAAGATTTAAAATTTCTTGTAGCAAAAAAAATCTCATATTAGTCGTTCTCTTTCTTTTACATGTCTGACAAACATTTCGTACGTGTTACGTAGTTGATCAAACCATTAGCCCCGTTGTTTGTTCAAACATTGTCTTTCAGTGCTTTTCATTCACTATTTACTTTTCATTAAAACAGAGTATTACTTAACATCTAACTAAAATTTCGCCCACAGGCCAACATCGTTTTTGAAATTATATATCAAAGAATAGTATGACCTGAAATAGACGAGATACTTTTATATCTTAGAAAAATAAATATTGAGCCAGATCAAAAAGAAAAAGTTAAATTATCATTTGAAACCATGTTAATTATCCTTTCTATTTAATTTATTGAAGAGAATATTAGAACGCCTACAACATACTCGTGCAACAAGTTCTCTTAAACGCGATGAACTTCTCTCACATTATGACCGTCAAATAGGTTATGTAACATGTCCACCACCGCCACCACCACCACCACCACCATTAATGCCATCACATATTAGTCTACCTAGCCGACCGTCAAGTGCTACTATAATGTCCTCTACATTTTCAACATCAGGAAAAAAATCAAACAATCCAAGTCGACCTTCTTCTGCTTCACATCCAATGAATAGTAATAATATGCGATCTCGTCCTCCATCAGCATCCACATCATTGCACGGTAGTAGTCGTTCATCGTCTGCCCGTCGGCCCATATGGAATGATCGTTGGCAACAGCACGAATGAATTTTTTTCAAAATTTCCTTAACGTGTTAAATTGAATGAAAAATCACTTCAGACCCTTGAGCTTCTTTTTTTTCTCGTGATAATGTAATTGTCGTTGTTTTTCTTTTCTTTTCTTATTTCATTATATTTTACTCTGTTGTATAAACATATCAGTTTCAATCAAACTGACACTAAATAAATGCACTTTCGTTACGAATTTATTTTCAATATTCATCAAGACATTTAATATAAATCTAAATACGTATGTATACGAAATGCATCTTTGTTGGTCACACACATACAGGAGAATAATGATTCACAATTGACAATTAATAAGAAATGCACCTACATATGATGACAAGCACAATAAAATGAACTGCATGTCTTTCGTATATGATGATACATCGACTCACTATACTGTTCTATTTTTGATACATAGACTAATTGCGGCGGCAACTTTAGTCCTTTTTGGTGGCTCGGATAAAAATATTCATGCATGAACACCTTTATCGTATATGAAAAATATTCTATCAAACACGAATAATTGATTTTTTGCTATAACAGCAAGTTGATAAAACTGTTCTAATAGAAAAGTTGACAAGAATATGTGTAATAGAATAAATATTCAGAAAAATCAAAACAAACTATTTTCTCTGAAAATTTTCAATAGTTATAATAGTATTAAATCAGATAGGGAAAGAAAAATAGATAATTTCGAAAAGTTAATTTTAGACAATTTATTTTTTCATCGAACGTCAATCTTGATATTTGAAATAAAAATTGACAGATTAACATCTAGTTTAATTAAATGAACATGTTAGATAAAATAAGATGATGTCAAATTCAAAGTCTTGTAACACGTTTTGGTTTCGGTTCAAGTCTTTCGTCAAATAATTCTTCATAAAAGTCTTCATTTTTCTCTAAAATATAATCATTAATTTCTTCTTCTTCTTCTTCGATGATGGACGAAGATGAAGATCCAATAATAGACGATGATGTGAATTCTGTCAGTAACTGTCGGAATGAATTAAGATCAGCATCCAATGTATGTAGTACATGAGATAAATTACGAGAAATGCGTTGTAAAGAAAGTAGTAACATGAAAATTGTATCCGGTGTTAATGAAGAAGAATTCATGATCTTCGTTCGAAGATTCGTCTAGTCGCATTAATGATAACATTAAACAAGAAAAAAAAAAGTTTTATCATCTACGTAAATGACGTACATTATTAATATCGTAATCAATGAATATGTCTTTTCATCATTCTTGACATTTATGTGATAATATAAGGCGAAGAAAAAAATCATCTCGGGGATTCTATTGCTCATTGCAAATAAATAATAAATGTTATTACGAACAAGAACAGACATTTCAAGTCCTATGCTTGTGTTTTACTCGAAAGTCATTATATATTCAAATAAAAATGACTCTTCAAATGAAAAAATAAGTTTGCCTTTGAAAAAGATTTCTTTTTCCAATAAAATCGATAATAATTTTAGCCGAGACCAACATGACGAAAAGAAAATCCTTAACTATAGCAGTGTGAACGATAGAGATTCGTAAAAATTATGAAACGAAACGAATTTCATCAGATATTGTTAACTTTTAGATCGGTCTATTAATAAAAAAAAACACCGATAGAGAGAGAGAGAGAGAGAGAGAGACGAATAATTATTTGGATACCAAGTGATGCTCTTTGGTAAATAATAAAACAGTTTAATATATTTGTTTATCTGATTCGATCAATCGTACGCCACATGTCTAATTTTCTATCGAGCCAGATGGATCTTTCGATAGCATATTAAAAATAAATTCGAACCTTGAACGTAAAATGAGATACATATGTCGTCCATCACTGTTGCAAAATCGACGACATTTTCATCGTAATGGGCGCACGCTTAAAAAAGAAAATGTTTCTTTTTTTTTAATTGCAATTATTTAATTAAGAAGGACATCTCGTAATTTAATAAGGAAATTTCAGGTTGGTACATTGGCCAAGTTTCAAAATGGTAATTGTATGTATTCAAAACTGTTTTTTGATTAGATAGACATCAGCAATTTTGTTACGTAGAAAAGAATGAAAAAGCAAAATTCAATGTTCAACGAACAAAATACGATGCGCCGCGAGGCAAATTAAGATAAAGATATAAAGCTTCCTAATGAAGTGAAAAGACCCTTGACGAACTTTTAATTAGTTAAAATTTGAGCTATTGAAGCGTAAACATTTTTTCATATTTTATATGTGTATTTCGTTTGAAAGAAAAAAGTACTCGAACTAACTAATGGATGACAGACAATGACTGAGTTTATTTATATTTTTTTAAGTTCACTGACGTAAAAGCATTTTATTTTTGTTAACAAAAGAAAAATTGAAGTCGAAGGCCGATCCATCGAACAGAATAGCAATAATAATAATAATAACTATTAATTTATCTGTAAAAATATTTTCAACAAGTCTAATTTCATTTCGAAAGAAGCTATACCTTGTATACTGTAACATAAGATCCAGTGGCGAAACACGAGTTAATGGAAATACGTACTCTACGATAATTTGAAGATATTATTATCCTGCAGATGAGACATACGATGTTACAGAATTCTATAAAAATTTATGAAATAATATTTTTTGTTTTACAAATCTTCGACTTCCGTCAATTACAGAATATAAGTATAGTTTTTCATTCTCTTCATAAATCGTTGAAATCATCCTTTTAGACCTGCGGTACGTATCAAATATCTCTTAGTCTGACCGAAATGGCAAACATGCAAATGGCTTAATTTATTTTTGAATATTTCCAAAAACTTAACATTGTACCGGGCACTTAATTTCGGGCAATCTTTTGAATACTTCTTGGCAGGACGATATTTTCAGTATTCATTTCGCATGGTTTAATCTGAATTATTTATGAGTACGAGTTAAAATTGAGGTCGACATTGGCCTCACTTTGTTTTACTCGGAACTATGCAGCGATTCAATTAGTTTCGGATATTGTTGATCCGTATAAGAATTAAAGTATGATGTGCCATAATAGGCTTAGTAGGAATATTTCAAAATATTCTGTTTGATCTCACACAATCCTGTTCTACATACGAATAGTCAAACGGAAAAAACACGGATGATAAGAAATTGATATTTCGTTTATCGAAATAGTTGATGTGCTCTCAATTAATATGTCTATCTTTTGTAGCTGATATAAATCGAGACAGATTCTACGACAAATTAATCCTTTGATTTTTCAGTTTCAAGAAAAGCCAATTTTTTTAGAACAACAAAATACATGCGTTAAATCTAGCTCTTTTCTAAACCAATATTAATTTGAACCGTACCAGGGTAAATATGAAAATGAATTACAATCAATTAGAGATTGTATTCATTTCGTAATCCCTTGGTACTATTGTTATATAGCACTTTCCGATTGCACTTTTCATTTTATTTTTACATGATGGCGATTTTTAATGATTGGTTCTCGTTGTTAGTATTTTCGAATCTACTTCTGGTTGTAGTCATTTTTGGTCAAAGTAAAAGAAAACAATTTCGAAATATTTTTACTGATTTTTGTTTTTTGTGTACTCAAAAAAAAAGTGAGTACACTATAGAGTCGGTCAGTGTGTCCGGCCGTACGTTTACACGATAATTCTTGAAAGGCTGATCAGATTGTCATGAAATTTTGTACACAGCATTATCTCATCAATATCTCGATCGAATTCGAAGATGAGAAGGATCTCTCAAGAAATGGTTGAGTTAACGGAAAAATTGTCATTTTTGCCCAGACCATCCCTGAGGAGGGGTACAAGGATTTTGTTTTCAAAAAACAAATTTTTCTCAGAATTATTCACAACATATATAAATCGACTTAGTTTTTAACGCTGATTCCGAATCTGGTATTAGTTTTGAACTAAATCGTAGCTTTCTAACGAAATATCGCCGGGAAAACGGCTAAAAATGCAAATAACTGCATCCAGAAATCAAATTGCCTAGTTTCTCATGATAATTTTGGTGTTCAGACATTCTAGAATGACTCATATGTCCCATGCACTTTTTGCAGTACACATATCTCTCGGATGAAATCCGAAGTTTCCACATTTATTTATTGAAGACAATGGAAATCTATGCTATTGGATTCATTGTGCAAATGGTAATGTCTGTGAAAAACCTCAAAATTCTACTGCGCTGTTCAAATGTCAATGTCAATTTGACTTTACTGGAAGGTTATGTGAAGATCGAATAAGTATAGCAAGTAGCAAAAAAAAGAATTCACTTATTATTTAAATTCATTATTATATTTTAGCTTGTTTGAAAACTCCTGTTGCGATCGGATTGTTCCCATTCGATCGTAAGACGCCGTAGAGACACGCCCTTTCTAGTACAGTGGCTAATACGTCTGCCCGGATAGCAGTAGGTGCATGATTCGATTCCATGCAAAGGGGGATATCTTTTGCTCCGTTCTGTTGTCATTCCATCACGCTGATAACAAGCGTATAACAAATCCATGTTTCAATAATGAAGTTTGTACAATAACAAGTGAAAGGGGGTTATTAAATGTACATGTGCAAAAGGTTATACGGGTTCTCGTTGTGAAATTTTAATATAAAATTTTACTTTAATGTTACATGCTATAAGTGGAACAGTTGACACAAAAAAATAAAAAAGCAGAATAAAAGAAACAACAATAAACGCTTGTTCTTCTTGTACAGCAAAAAATAACAACAACAACAACAGCAACAAATTAGCAGCTAAGATTTATAAGTGTGTATATTTCATGATGGAAATTTCTCAATTCTGAAAATAAACAACAGATTGAGACATAGTCATGATAAATAACTGCATATTTTGACATTCTCACCTATTCCAAAATTAATAGATGTAAGTGGATCTTAAAATATTAGGATACATGACGCTATTCTTACGTTTCATTTGATCATATAAATAAACACGATGTAATGCTATATAACTCTTGTATAGTTTAATAAGATTTGTTCTATGAGAATATGCGGTAGAACTCTATTCTTCATTTGGTGAAATTCCAAGCTCAGATAAAACTGCTTTAGCAATCGATTGATGACAAAAAATAAACCATGAGCACATAGAGTGCAATTAGATATTAGGGATACTTCCTACTTTCAATATTTGTAATGAAAAATACTGCCATAGATAGCTTAAACGTTGAGCTAGTTGATATTTGAAGAGAGTCTTAAAAAGTGAGACTAGTAATTAGGAAGTATCATAATCCTCAAGAACGACGAAGAACGTACAATGAAATTAAAAAAAAAATTTATCTATATACAAAGTCGATTTTGAGATAGTTGCCTTCAAGTTAAATATCTCAAAAATCATTGGCTCTAATATCTAATATTTATCAGAGAGAAAGAAGTCGTAGACAAATTTTTAATCATTGAATGAAAAAAATAATTCATTTTTGATCAGACAAAGTTAGCGGTTGAAAAATTATTCTCATACACGAAAGATAATTTTAAATTTCGAAATAAAACTTATTTCTAGGAATTTAAAAACAAAAAGTTTTTTGTTAGTTATGAGGAAAATAAGGGCATTCTTTTCTCAAATGTCCTTGCTGACGACATCCGTAACATCGGCGACGTTTAATATGTCTTGTGCTAGTGCACATACGAAGAGCAGAATATGTATATGGTGTCAAGTACGATGTATGTACAGATGGCGCACGAGTCCGAACGATAGGCGAATAGCGTTCATAAGGATGAAAATAGGTTGGATGATGATCATGATGCATTGAATTTGAATTTGTTTGTGCTAAAATCTCTTCAAATATATTGGCAATACTGTCGAAATCAGCACGAGTATCGATTGTTGCTAGTAGATTAGGTGATATCGGTGTATTACTATTCGTTGATGATGATGATGATGAATACAGTGGATCGGCAAGTTGATCGAATGATATATTAATATGACTAGCAATTCGTACAGCTTCAGTTTCTGCATTTGTTCGAATAACAGCATTATTGCTCTCAACCGGAGATTTCGGTATAATGTTCATTTCAACAAGCGATTGATTATTCGCGTTATTATCTTCATCTAAAACTTAGATGAATACCGAATTAAATTAATTTTGTTTTAGATTTTAAACTTACCTGCTGCCAAATCAACATATGTTGATGATGTTGATGTTAAATACTCTGTTTGAAATTTACTCAGTATTTCATTAGTAAAAAATCTTCGATTAAGACTAACAAATATTGACGATGATATTTTACATGAACAAAGTCTTGGACTACGTCGTTGAAATTGCAACCATGATGGTAAACCATATTTAATTGTTTCACTTAAATTAAATCCTGTATCGAAATAACAATGATATGTACCAGGAAAAATAGCCACTAGTTCATTAAGTTTTTGCTCGATTCGATAATATTCTATGGAATGTAAATCAAGAAATGATGGTTTTATGAGAAGAGATTTATGTTGAAGTGGTGATAAACACGATGATGATATATCAGAAAATAATTTTAATTTATTAACTAATTCTTCAAATTTCGAATAACACGATGGATGTATTATATACCAAATTTTTGCAGCACCATGATGAAGATAATTTAAAGATATTAGATCATATTCATCTATATGAATACCAACGGCGCTCGACCACATGCCCATATGAACTACAGGTGTTGTTACGCCTATAAATTTGAATTATAAATAGTACCGATTAATATACTGCAGGCGAATATATGATATGAACTTTTTACGTTAATCCAAAATTGAACATCTCATAACAACAACTTTATTCTTTTTTTGTATATAAAATTTCTTCACAATAAATTAAGATTTTCTCAATATCAATTTAACTATATGTACTATGCATTTTTATTATAAAATTTCTCATTGTATTTATTTTCAATCTCAACCGAAAGATCCCTAGAAATAGCATATATAACTATTATTAGATTTTTGTTTGTCTTTCTTTTACGTGCAGATTTATCAAGTCTTTTTTTCCCTAAATTGAATGATACCTGGAATTCGTTGTGGATAATATTTGAGTAATGACGATAAGTCAGTCATATTAAAAACAGTTTCTCGTTTTGCAAATAAAGTATCATCAACATTCGGTACATACAAAGATGCACGTTTCGATATTGTAGACCAAAAATAATCCAAAACATTATCATTGACTGTATCGCTCAAACGATATGGATCACTTTCAGCTATTGTTTTGAATTCATCATAAGTCATGGAGCGTCGTTTAAGTGTTTCAGAATTTTGAATATAAAAAACATCCGATTGATGAGATGCATGAATTATTTCTTGTTTTATGTACAGTTTTATATGTCGTATGTCATATGGATTTTTTACTAAGGGAGCCCATCGACTAGGAGGAAGAATTTTAACAGCGCCAAAACGTCGTTGTAAACTAGTTTCATGGTGGGTTAAAAATATTGCTAATGATTTCCATTGTTCGAATGTTGGCGTTAATGTTGGTATTAGTTTTGTACTATTCTCCATAACCATGATCAATGTACTACTAAACAGACACTCCAATGAGTATTGTATCGTTATTGGAGAGCAACATGGTTATTCAAGTGTGACGGCCTCTTTTCGTTCTTTTCGTATTTTCTTCTTTCGTTCTATCGTTCGTTCTCTGGCCAAGTTCAAGTTGTCGACGTCATCACAAGACCCCATGGGGATATAGCTCAGTGGTAGAGCATTCGACTGCAGATCGAGAGGTCCCTGGTTCAATCCCGGGTGTCCCCTATTTTTTTATTCACTACTCCGTCTCACTCGGTTTTGACAGGTTTTTGAAAGACAAGTGCATGGAAAACCATTGTGGGGATATAGCTCAGTGGTAGAGCATTCGACTGCAGATCGAGAGGTCCCTGGTTCAATCCCGGGTGTCCCCTATATTTTTATTATCTAATAGGATTNATTTTTTTATTCACTACTCCGTCTCACTCGGTTTTGACAGGTTTTTGAAGGACAAGTGCATGGAAAACCATTGTGGGGATATAGCTCAGTGGTAGAGCATTCGACTGCAGATCGAGAGGTTCCTGGTTCGATCCCGGGTGTCCCCTATCGTTTCTTTTTCAAATAGCAGTAATCATAACTGTTATTTTTTTATAAGTTCGTTTACGTAAGTTTTCGATATGATCATTCTATTACGAGACAATAACTAATGCTCATCATTCAATATGCGTGCACTCATTCGTTGAGAAGACAAATTATCAAGTGAAAGTATAAAAATACCGTACAAGTACACAGGCCAATGGTACGAAAAAAAAGACATAAAACGTCAAGAAACAATTTTGTTGTGCGCATAGATGTTCGCTTACTCGTATGGTCAGTGTCGGTATTGCCAAAGGTCATCCTTTTTTTTGTCATTGTCGGTCGTACTTCATTGAACTCAAACAATGATTGGCTGAGCATGCACTTGTTTTTCTTTTAGATATGAATACTTTCGAATGAATACATTCAATCAAAATGAGTGATGAAAAAAAAATACCTTGAAGGAAGAACTCAAAATTTACTCAACGAAGAAGAAATGAAAACTTCTCAATATGCAAATGTTATGAAATAGGTTACATGAAAAAGAACGCATTAAAAATTGATTGACTTTTGAAATAATGAAATGAAACTCTAGGAAAAGGCTTTTAAATCGATGCAATCAGATAAGAATTAAAGATTCTACTTTTGATTATCATGTTTAGAAATTAACTATTAAGTCTACATAGTCATAGAAACTATTTTCTGTTTAAACTATTTTAATATTCATTATTGTATTTGTTGCAGAGTCATCTCAAGTAAAAGAATTTTATTAGTTCATATTAGTAACGAATAGTGTCTATGAGACATGTTACTTGCGATGTGATTGTATTATCAGTGTATTTTTTTTTTGCTCACATGTGATGTGTGAAGATAAGCAAAGTATTATAAAAAAAAAGAAGAAGAAGAAGAAGCCTCATATGCCTTGTAACATCATATATTTCTTTAGAAGCTATCTTAGAGTGTTTATTTTTATTCTCATTTAATCTTAAAATAACTTTTATCGTCGTCTAAACTTTAGATCAAATGATGTTGTGGTTATTTCTAATTCTTCCAGTAATAATAAGTGTAACAAGTCGTTCAATTGATATTCATGATAAATCGACACCAAAAACTGTATCAGATCGTTTAATTGAATTAGTCACTCAGGGTGCTTTTCGTGGTGTTACCTATTATCGTTTGGCTGCATTAACTGATACTATTGGTCCACGTCTTTGTGGTAATGAATCGTTAACGCAAGCTGTTGATTGGGTTCGACATGCAATGATTGGTGAAGGCTTAGAAAATGTTCACGTCGAACCAGTTCAAATACCTCATTGGGTACGTGGTGCAGAACGAGCTCATTTAATTCAACCACGTATTGCAAAATTATCTATGCTTGGCTTGGGAAATTCAGTTGGTACTGGTCCGAATGGTATTCAAGCGCCAGTACTTGTTGTTCGATCGTTTGATGAGTTAGACATAAGATGTGAAGAAGCTCGTAATAAAATTGTTGTTTTTAATCCTCAATGCGATTGGGTAGCACAACCTGTTGGTTGCTATGGTCCAGTTGTTGCTTACCGTGCAGGAGGAGCATCGCGCGCTGCTAAATGTGAAGCAGTTGCTTCTCTTAGTCGATCAGCTGCATCGCATTCTATTGATTCACCACATACGGGTATGATGAATTATGATCCAGCTTATCCAAAGATTCCAGCAGCATCACTCTCAGTTGAACATGCTGATATGTTAGAACGTTTTCAACAGCGAAATCAATCAATGGAAATTTTTCTCTATATGGAAGCACACACATTACCGGATGTTGTCGGGTATAATCTTGTTGCTGAAATAGAAGGTTCAACTTTACCAAATGAAACTGTCCTCGTCAGTGGACATTTGGATAGTTGGGATGTAGGTCAAGGTAAAAAATTTCGTCAATAGTTTTACCATTTTAGTTAATATGAATTTTTTTTAAGGAGCTATGGATGATGGTGGTGGTGCAATGATTTCTTGGACTGTTCTTTCATTATTACATTCATTGAATATTCGAGCTAAACGAACAATACGTTGTGTTCTTTGGTCATGTGAAGAATTCGGTGGTATTGGTGCTGACCAATATTTTACGGCACATGAAAATGAAGTACCCACAATGAGTATTGTTATGGAATCTGATATGGGGGTATTTCATCCACGTGGTCTCGAATTTACAGGAAGTAATAAATCGCAACAAGTAAGAAAAAAGAAAATTCTCTTTTTCAAAGAGAAGAAAACATTTTATTTTTGTCATGGTGAAATTTTCTTTTTAGATTATACAAACACTATCTGTACAATTACAATCAATTAATGCGACTCAAATTCTGCCAGGTGGTGGTGGCACAGATATCGATCCATGGGTAGAACGTGGTGTTCCTGGTGCATCGCTTCTTAATGATAATGCAAATTATTTTGCTTATCATCATTCAAATGGTGATACAGTCAATGTGTTCAATTCAACTGATATTGACCTAGCTGCTGCTGTTTGGGCTGTTTATGCTTATTCCATTGCTGACCTTGATAATCTTTTGCCACGCTAGCTTAGTATTTGTGAATGTTTCTTTTTTCCTTTGTTTTTTTTTAATATTCATAAATGGAAGAAAAAAAAAGTAAACGACAAGCTAAAAGGCGTTTTGTGCTGGTAAGCCAACGACAAAAAAGAACACCGATTCTCTGTCAGTCAATCAATCATTAAAAATGTTTAGTTTACATAAGATGAAAAATACGAATAAAAAGTTTAACATTTACTTTGCATTTTTATTCTTGCGCGTTTAACTACAAAAAATAACGACTTCATCACAATAATGGCATCGAAAGGAAGTGGCGTACGTATAGTTGTCTACGATGAACATGATAAAATTCATGCAAGTATACGTGATGCTATGATTGAAACGATTGAATCGTTCTATCATTTACCGTCGTGTATTTCATTTATTGAACAAAATGCTAAAGATGACAGAGTAAATATCGTAATAACAACATCAATAGAGGATCATGTTTTGCAATCATTCGAACGTTTGCATCCTGTTGAAGCTATTCTTATTTCATCTAAATCACGAAGGTATGCTGATACATTACTGAGTAAAGTAATTGGCGTTTATCCTAAGATGGAAAATCTATTAGTCGCCTTATTCGAAACCATGGAAACGTTAGAATTACAACTCAATGCAAATAGCATTCTTTTTCATCGTCAAACAGATGGAAGTTACAATACGGATTTTTATTTTTATGCTATTTGGAAAACTCATTATCGAAGTCAAATGGTACCGAAAAAAAGTCTTGTTGAACAATCACGTTATCTCTTTTATTCCGAAAAGAAAGTAAAAGCTCATATTCAAGATTTCAATGCAAACTATCAAGCATCGGAAGTTCTCTATTGGCTGGATAAATATAGTCATCCATTTCCATATAATTTACTTGTTTCAAATGCTCTTCGTACACACGATCAACAAATTCTATCAGTTATTCGACTGTTTATTCTTGATCTCAATAAACAAATGAAACCTTTGCCAATAGGACCTAGTTATAATCAAGTATTTTTCGGTACAAAATTATCAATAGAATTAGTCGATCGACTTGAACAACTAACATCGAAAGATATTATTGCATTTCAATGTTTTCTTCCTGTAATGAAATCGCGAACAAAAGCTTTAGCAGCAGCAACACAACCAACTCGTCGTCGTAAAATAGCCAATGTATTATTTAAAATCGATGCAAGCAATGCATTATGTGCACCGATGGGTGAAACTGTTCTTATTGATATGGCAACACCATTTCATATAACATGTGTAACAAGAAATACAGGTTCAGGTGGCGTTCAACAATTAGTAACAATTGTTACACTAGTTGCAATTCCTAAACGACATAGAGATTATTTATTTTCACACTTTATTGAACAACAAAGAAAGGCCGGAAAAACAATTAGTGATTTTCTACAACAAACAATTCCACTCGTTAGGTAAGACAATATTAATATGGATGATTTTACTAGCTGCTTTTCTTCGTTTATTTTTAGGCCGGATAATACTTATAGAAGAGACGATGAAGATAAATCGGAAATCTCTCAATACTCCATTCCACTTTATGTTGTTTCAGTAGCACAAGCCAGTCGAGATTCGCTAGCTGTATGGTATGCATTATTGTCGCTATTGAATTTCTTGAGGATTAATATCAGAACAAAATAATGAAAGATTAAATTATTGTTTTCCATTTAGTAATGATGAAGCTGAAGCCGATGAACTTATTGCTCGCGGTAATTGGGCGCAAGCAGTCGATGCTTTAGCTCGTATCGAAGATCCAAATGTTCGTGTATTAAATAAACACGGATGCTTATTACGTGAACGTTTACAAGATTTGCCGGGTGCACTTGAATGTCACGAGCAAGCATTGGGCAAAGCTACGGATAAAGGAAAAGCTGAAACACTTATTTATCTGGGCATCGTTTATCATGATATGAAACAATATGCTGAAGCATTGAATCAGTATTCTCAAGCATTACAATGGTTCGATAAACAGAAATCAAGAGATCCTAATATGATAGCTCGATGTCTTGTTGGTCTTGGCAATGGATATTGGGCACGTCGAGAACTTGACGAAGCACGCGATTGTACTGAACGTGCGTTAGCTATACGTGAGCACGAAGTTGAACCGAAAAATTACGCAGACATCGCATCTTGTCTTGGTAACTTGGGAAATATATTACACGATCAAGGCCATGTTGAACGGGCATTAGATTATGCTAAACAAGCCGCTGATTTATTAACTATACATGGGACGAATGATTTAAGATTGGCAGCATCATTAAACAATTTAGGTGCGATGTACCTAGCTTGTGGACAAAATGATAAAGCACGAGAAAATTTTGAACGTGCAATAGAACTTATAAAAGATGAAAATCATCCGTATCGACAAAGTGCATTGAATAATATCGTACGGTTAGATGAAATGGAAGCAGCACAAAAAGAATAATTTATTTTTTGATAAATATATATGAAGATGATTTTTCTTACTTTTATTTTTTTCTTCAAAGCATTTATAGTTATAAAGAAATATGGATTCAGTCAGGAGAAAAGATAAAATAGTGTCCGAATTTATTGAATTGAATCAACTCACTTTTCTTTCTAACGGTACGCCAATCTAGTAAGCTTTTATTTAGATGGTTGAAGTTCGAAAGTGCTATGGAAAGCTTTTGAATTTTGAAGTAAATACACAAATTGCATTTTTTTATATTCGAACATTAACATTTGAATGATTTCTATTTTAATTGCTTGAATTTTTCACTAAATACTTTTCTTTGGATTATAAAAACAAATCTCTATGAAACTAATTATTATTTAAGGCGTACATGATTCAGACAATCAGTCGGCCATAAACAATAGGAGCCATAGGAAAATTATTCAACAAATACTAAGCTAGTCAATGCAGATCGAAATATTGGTCCTTACTGCAGTTAATATTTACACTTACACCCAAATTATTTTTTCTATTTTCTCTTCTGTGCTGTTCTGTTCTTAAAACAATAAGAATTCATCATTTTTAGTATCGAAAGTGAATACAACTATTTTTAGAAGCATGACGTCTTGTTACGTTCTTGAATCTTCGTAAGAAAAATACTTGTATTTGGCACAAATAAACTCAGCTATATTTAGATATTGACTTTGATCATTTTTTGCGTTACCGAATCAACAAAGAAAAAACAAAAGTTGCAATATGATCTATTGCTTGTAAAAATGTACTTCGATTTTTTTCTCTCATATTCTTATCTTGGAATGTCGTTGAGTGCGCGTTCTACGTTGATGGAATGAATTATGTTTAATAATTCATATAAAAAGTTTTGAAATAGATATTCAGTATTTAGAAATGGCCGAGCTGATGCGTGATTTTAAAAAAGAAAATGAACGATGATAGTTCAACTTCAACAGTAGGTCAAGCTGATTTAGAGGGGCATGCAGTTGTAGATTCCAATTGGCTTTTTAATTATTATTTGTAACTTTAAAATGTCTTCTATTTATAGTTATAAAAGCAAATTTCGTATACAATGGATCGTGCCATGGTAGAAAATAAAAGACAACAAACAGATATTAAAATTGTACTTGATTATCCGTCGATTGGTGATTTTCACAACAAATATACCACCACTCGATACAACAACATTCGAAGGAACTATTGTGAATGAAGCTAAACCCCGTTGAATGTAAATAAGTTTTCCTTGCATACTGATCAATTCATTAGAGATAAATACGAATAAAAATTATCTCTGAGAGCAAACTCTTCTGTTTTTATTAAACACTATCCAAGATGATAAAACGAGAAGTGATCAAAACTTTACAATTCAATAAGAATAAGAGCAAAAATCTGTATGTAGTATAAGTTTGTTCGACTATTACAAAAAGAAAAAAAACCGATTTACATATTCAACAGGCTCACTACTACTCTTCAATGGATTGAACTTCTCAAACGATCCTTCTCGGATTTATTTTCGTAGATGCGTCTGTACAAAAATCTTCATTGTTTATTAAAGAAGATTATCGGATACTAACAGGAACCAATATGAATCTTCTGTCTATCATATTCTTTCTTGCACTGCTTGACTTGAAGCAATCTTGTACAATACACAACGCTAACAAATATATCGAAGTCTAGGATAAAGTTGGATCGGTAACCTTATCCTCATTCCGCCACGTTGTATACTTTTTCGAAAATCTTTTATTCAATTATAATAATAAAATCGATGATTTACATTTTCATCAACGATAATTCCTAACGAGTAGACTTGAACACTTTTGTTGCTAATTTCAAAGTTTCGCTAATTCTGAAACTCAATCTTTTCACATGCACTTGTGTATTTATGTTAACAAAATTCACTAACACATTATACAGGAATGTTCCTTAAGAAACAGAAAAGAAAACAAGAAAAAAAATGTCTATAAAAGAATGAAAGTTAAACGATTGTCTTATCAAAATTCGTCAAAAAAAAAGATGATCACTTCAATTAATATTTAAAACTAGATTCTACTTGGAACACATGTCATGCTTTCAATCTGACACAATAGGATCAAGATTTACAAAAAGAAAAAACAATTTAACAAAGAAAAACGGAAAACATAATCATTAAACTAAAACGGCAGTAGTTGCTGAGCTGCTTCGTAAACGTTTCATTTCATGCGGATCCTTTTCTAGGCTGAGCTCTGATGCCATGGAACGTTTTGTAATACGAGCTGCTAAACCAACATCATCATTGTTTTGTTCGGTATCATCATAATCATCTTCGTCAGCAGCAGTTTGATCAACAATTGTATTTAGAACAGACGAAACTTCCTCTGCATGTTCGCCGTCTTCTTCTTCTTCTTCATCGCCCAAACCATCTAATGCTTTCAAATAAGCTTTTTTAAGTAAACATATATCAAGAAACTTTTGACCGCCACGTCGACCAAATGATGCTTTCCATAAACGAGCAGTAGTTGATGACGATAAAATATCATCATCTTCGTCTTGTTCTAGAAAAAAAATATTTGCGTTTAATTCGTATTTTTACATGTTTAGGATTAAAGGTTTAATAGAACACAGGGGAAGTGTATTTTAACCAATAGAAAGAAAGCAATTCGATTGTACATTTGATTTCATAGACGAAAATGCATACTAGCATGGATTCGAGTGGGTAAAGGCGTCAGCTGTCGAATACAACTCTACTTTCATTTACATCTAAAAAATGAAAAGAGCACCGAAGGTTATCGATAACAATGGATTGACTTCTAAAAGCAAGGCTTTTCATTTACAATCATCTCAGTATCGAGCTCACGTTAACAGACTAAAATCTATACGGTTTTAATACGAATTTCTATTGCGAACATAATTACTATTGATTATGTACTAATTAGACATTTAATACTCTACTACCGATCTCATTCCAAATCGTGACACAATTCTACAAAGCGAAAGATTACATCGGCATTTACTCATCATGTTGCAATAGAATTAAGAATAATAATTGTGTGTGCGTGTGTTTTTTATTTCTGACACATATTGATTGCGCATAATGTCTTTATAAAATACTAAAAACATGTGCTAGCAAATTTCCTGATGTCTGTATCCTTAAAAAAAAATGAGATTACCTTCATTATCATCAACCAGTGTCATCGGTGTATGAAGAAAAAGTTTTGAATCGAATTGTGGTAATTCATCTTTATGTTCTAATAATTCACAGAGATAAGTTTGTCGTTGCGATAACTCTTTAACTTGTATTAATAATTGTCTAACATAATGTTGTTCAAATAGTTCTGGACGTTCTTCGCAGCGAAATTTAAATTTAAATCTTGAATTATCCTGATAGATTTCAACTGATAATAATCTTGATGATAAAAGTTTCGCATGTAATTCACTATCATGATTATCTTGTTTAAGCGAATTAATGCTGACCATAGATTTTAAACGTGTTAATATCGGCGCTAGATCATCACGATGAAATGATGTTTTACGTGGATTATTTAATAGTTGTAGGCGTTGGCGAATTTTTTCTTCATTTAAATGCTCAAAATAAGCTGTGCCGTTTAAGTAAAAAGCTATTGATATTGAGTTATCTGTAAAATGTGGTTGACATAGTAAAACAATATGACGATAAGATGCATCAAGACAACCAGCAAACATGGTTAACGATGATGACATACGTATAAGGCGCACAGGTGTTTGAGCAAATGTTCGTGAACATGTTGCGGCAAAATCTTCAAAGGACATATCTAAAATATATCAATTGTGAATTTTTCTTAAGATTTATTAGAAAGATTCTACGCTAAACATGTTCTCCTTAGACTAATTAAAGATTTTGAGTTTCTTTTTTTATTTCTGCTTTCAGAAATTGATCCTAGCTAATCATTTTATAATGTTGACGAAAAAGATTCATTCTTAAGTACACGTCGTTGATACTGCATGTTAAGTTGTTCAATGAATATAAACGTAAGAATCGTATGCGGACCAAGACGAGAAAAGTACGGTGTAAAACCTTTCCAAAAACTAAGTACACCTTCTCGACGAAGAATACGTTGAAAGACGTCCTAAAATAGAATTGTTGAATATTAATATTGAAGTCATAAATGATTCGAAAAAATAAATAATTGGGTGGACAGTAATTTTTAAAAAAATCTTGTCTACGAAAGTTGAAGTAAAGGTGAACGATTGAATAACGTAAAGAGAACGAAAGAGTAAATATATATATTTTGAAAGTAGAGCAAGACAGAATGACCGATAATGTACGAACGAAAGCGAAAAAAAGAAAGATTCATGACCGATACATGCTATTCGACGAAAGGAGAAAAAAATCTGCATATATTTGAACACAAGTATATTGACATAGTAGTAAATGACAAGTAACTTTTTTCAAGCAGAAAAAAAAGAAGCAAGACCAACGAAATATTTTGTACGAAAATGCATTCATGATTGCATAAGTAAAATTCAATTTTTATACTTGATATAGTATTAAATAAAAATCTGCTATGAACAAGACTAGTATAAGGTAGCATTTATAATTGTCATAGTAACCGACAGAATATAGATATACGAGAAGAAAAAAAAGTTCAACGGAGGCCAAACATTTTCAATGATTGTAAAATTGATTTTTTTATACGAAATAAAAAATTGGGATCTTAAAAATTTTAAATTCTTAAAAACAAAATCTGATAGTTGAAGATTTATTCACTGAAAGAAACATTATCGTACTCTGCAGGTAAATCAGAGCTACTTTATCTTCTCAAAATTCAACCCTGAAGAGGAACATTGTCACATGACAGTTTCCTTATTACATGAAGATATTTATAATAAAAAATAAAAAATAATAACTTACAAATATTCCACTGTACTCTGCTTTTCCTTGTACAATTTTCATATTTTGATATCGAGTTTTAACAATATCAACTGGCAACGAAACAGATGTTGTTACAAAAGCTGCAATTAACGATGCAACAACATGTAGAGGAAAACCTTGTTGCATAAGACCATTGGAGATTAAAGCTTGTTTAGCTTGTGAATACGTTGGCATTTGAGCTGCATTAACAATCATAGCTCGAGTAGCCGTTGGTATAGCACCACGCCATAATTTAAGCACACCTTCTTCACGTGTTATACGTGCAAGAGCCTCGAATACATGCGCATAATTTCTTCGTTCAGCCATAGGCAAACGACCATCGAGTGTCATACGAATTAATGCTACTTCAGCCGGTGTACCAATGAATGAACCTAAACCACCACTAGTTACACCCAAAAGTAGATTAGTGAAAAATGCCGGCGGACGACCATCTGTTTGACGAAAATGTTCGAATAATGCTTGATATATTCCTAGACGAGCTGTCGTATACGTTGCTTGACGAAATAAACCAGCCGAGAGACTAGAATAAATTATAGTTCAATAAAAATAATTTCGTTTTGTTGTATCGAAGATAATTCTTTACCCTGCATAAACACCAGCAAAGCCTTCATTACGAAATATTGCTCGCAACGCATGGAAACTTGTCTTGTGTTCTCGAGCACCACCACCTTCGCCACTCATTTGCATTCGATTTTTAACGATATCCATGGGATGAACGAATAATGTAGCAGTCATACTATAATGTAAAAATTAAATATAAAAAATAAGAGCATCAATCTGCGCACCCAGCTGTACCGCCGATTAGAAACTTGATTGTATTTGGAGTATTCTGTGGTGCTTTCGGTATAGCTTTGACTGGTGTTGGTACACTAGATGTGCTAACTGGCGTTGATGTCGACCCCATTGGTTTTGATTTCTCGTCAGAATCGCTTAGATATAATGAAGAAGGAAAATCTAAACGATTACCAATTGAAATCTGAAACAAAATATAAGCAGGTACTTCATTTTCATGGACTATACGTCGAATGATGCCTTGCTCGAAATAGTGAAGAAATAGTAGATAAAATCAGAGATATCAATCTTCGTATTTTGTCATAACACATAGTTACGCTTAAATAGTATAGATTAAGTTTTATTATAGATATGTTTTTAAAGATATAAAAGAAAGGATGTACTAATAATGTTCTTGGTCATTAATTTATCTTGATTGAAATTTTCAATTCCATGAATTCAAAAGAAGCTAATTAAGTAAATAAGAAAGAACAATGGCAATCTGAAATAATAATAAGAAGAAAATTGCGTTAATAGTAATTTGTTTCAAAAAGTAGTGTTTCTTCTTCTTTGTAAGTATCCTCGTGTTCGCCATTTTTTTTCAATAAACTGATCAGTACGGTTCGTTTTCCAAATTACACGCACTCTAAGTACTTTTCTCTCCGTTGACATCCCTGCTACTGGAATAGGAGCCTTCGAAAGAAAAGTTTCTTCTCGCCGCTGATAAAGAAATAATCAATTATTATACGATAGGATGCGATATGACATAGAATTCATACAGAAAGAACCAATGAAACTTTCTATTGGAAGTACTATACATTGACAGATGTCACCTTTGCGTCGTTGATCATACATATACTAAATAGAACTTGCTTTTCGATTAGAATTAAGATTCTGAAAACAGCTAGGTGTCTAAGACAATGTTCATAGTTTATTCAATTGATTCAACACATTGATACACGAATCGTTTTCAGAAATTATTTTACTCGATTTTGAAAGAGTAATTCTTGGGAATAAATAAGTCCTAGAACTTTTATGTAGACCCAATTTTTTGCAAACTTCTTCACTTTACTTGTACCCTTTATCAGTCTTCATCGTTTTTCACCTAGAATACGTTTTTTTTCTTCATATTTGAATATTACGATGACAATTAAAAAGAAGAGCAACAAGAAGGCCGTCCTGATAAGAACGTAAAATTTTTTTTTAAATCAAAATGATATGACCAAAGGTGTTATGACATAGTTATGTACTTTTAGAAAAAGAACAAATTGAAAAACTATAGATATATCTAAAAACATCCCTATTTTTCATTGAGAACCTACTCAAATACGTATATTTAACAAATTAGTAAAATTGTACAGAGCTTGCTGAACTTCGAAAAGTATGAAATACTTACAAATAGCATACTATTTGATGAAATACGTCTCCCTTTACAGTGCCACGGATCACATGTGTTTTCTAAAATACATCGAATAAGTTTTTAAAGCAATCTACAAATAAGAATATTTTAGGTATTTTACTCTTTGTTCCACAAAGAGACCATATTTTATTACAGAGCGAAGTTTCTCGCTTTGGACAAACAACATCATATCTACGCAAGGACCTTTTTCGTGAAGAATATCTCAGGATTTTCTTTATGGCATACCTCAAAAGAGTACTAAAATACCTGTGCATAACATATTTTTCTATAAGAAAAGAATTTTTAATTATCTTGCTCATTTTTCTTACCTTTTTCTCGTGAATTCATTATTTCTCTACGAACTAGACACGCAGTAAAGCTGGCGGCGCAGAAAATATTTCATATTAAACATCCATATGAATATGTACATAAGCAAGAACAATAAATAACATACCACCAAAGCGATACAAAGTACAGTGTGCTTCGAGAGGTCTTTTAAAAAAGATTTTTTCCTTCGTTCGTTCTACAGGGGTTCCCTACTCGCAGGGCACTCTTTGAATGCATAGATAGCACTACAGGTAACCTGAAAATATTGATATTTTTTCTTCAACTGACCAAAAAGCATTTACTAATTAACCATATTCTATTAATATGCAAAGCAACCTAATGCATAATCACATGCATCATATCTTCGTTGTAATTTCGTAAGTCACTAGTGCAACAATAATGCCTGCTTTTTCTTTTATCAAGTGCAAAAGCTTTGTTTTTTTCAATTAATAGTATTCCTATTGTTAGATCGCCCATTTCACCAGTAACACATGTCAGAATAACATGATATAAATCTCTATTAATTAAGTTCCATCGTATATTGATTCTCGCCTATTATAGTTTTTTGTCCCTGTATTACAATGATATGCCACAGGGATTTCTTTTTCAGATAAATTTCGAGGTAGCTTATAATTTATTTATGCAGATATAAAATAATAAAAAAACTCCTCCACTGTGGTGGTCAAATATTGAATTTTGAGAATTTCTAACAATGCAAAAGCGAAGTATGTCTTGAGCTCGTTGATTTGGGTATCCCAATAGGTCGAAACTATTGAATAGACTAAGATTTCAGTTGAGTTCCCCAGAATGCACTGGTCAAACTATCATAATGAATGTAAATAGCACACGGTAAAACCCGATTGAAAATCTTAATTCATATAATTTTTTCAGAATCACTATAGTAATAACTATCGGTGCTGTTGAAGGCAGTAGATATGATAGGACTATGACACTGGGAAAATACCAGGATCCCACCAAGCACTCCTGTGTTTCAGCATCATTCACATAACCACATTTGTTTTCTTCTTAAGTATACCAAGTCAAAGACACAGCATCTATCCTTGATAGATAAGATACGATGACAATAAGTGAATTGAGAAAGAAAGAAAGAAAGACTACCGCAAACAGAACACTGACAATGGAGGTGTGTGCATTGTAAGTTGAAAAGACTAGATATTTTTACATCAAAAGAACGCTATCACCGCCAAACTAACAAGGTTAAAATATTAGCTCCCTTTGGCTTGTCTAGAGAGAGATATTCGATTTTTCAGTAAATTTTCTGTACAGGACCAGCTTTCCCAGCAATATCATATTTTCGAATTTGGATCTGAAACTTTGTGTGCATAAAGGTCTCAATGAGACTAGCTTTCAGAAAAAAAATCATCGGAAATTCTGGACAAACTCTCTTCGAGATATAGATGTCTCAAGCATACAGCTTCTATAGAAAATCGTTAATATGTTGAGAGATTCATATCTCGAAGAGGGTTTGTCCCGAACCTCTGATATTTTTCCTATAAGCTAGCCTCAGTGAGACCTTCATGCATACAAAGTTTCAGGTCCAAATTCGAAAATATGATATTGCTGAGAAAGCCGCTCCTGTAGAGAAAATTCGCTGAAAATCGAATATCTTCCTCTAGACAAGCCAAAGGGAGTTAATATTTTAACCTTGTTAGTTTGGCGGTGAGAGCGTTCTTTTGATGTAAAATATCTAGTCTTTTCAACTTACAATACGATCGATCGAACATGCATCTATTGCATTTTTTTATTATTTGACAAAAATACTCGAGATGATCAGTATCAATCTTATGAAAGAAATCATTTCTAGTAAATATCTCAAAATATATTAAGTGCACGAATCACAATAAAAAAAGGTACGAGTTCGTTTCTCATTAATCTTCTTCTCTTAATTATGTCTTCGATTAGCACGTAATCAATGGCATCATATTAGACAATACAAATGAGAATAATACACGAATCGAGTAGTAATTCTGAGTTAAGCTAGAAGTATTGAATAGCGTTGAAACAATATGTAATCTATCATTTTTATGACCCTAACTTGTATCAGTTCATAATGACCTTATCCTTTAATTCTTCCATCAATACTATATCTGGATGACATCCACGAGAATACCAATCGTATGAAGTCTATTTTCATCATTAGAAAGCCTTCAGACAACCGAAAATTTCAAATTCTTTCAGTAAAGTTTAGCCGAAAATTCCTATTGATACATTTCCCGGCAGTTATTTTTATTAAATTCACGCAACAATTTGATATCGATGAAACAGTATCGATGATATTTGTTTTTAATTGTTAAAACGCGATTCATCTCTGACTCTACATAAAAGTAGAAGCTGCCCAGATTGCTATTATCCCCATCGATTATCCATTGCAAATGTAATCCGTATAGACAATAAAAAGTCTCATAATGTCAATGATATCTAATTGTTGTTTTCCTATCATTTTTTGATTGGTGTCTGTAAACTGTAATCGCAAGGAAATCCATACCGAAGAGCAAATGTCAGAATAATACATAATCTATCGCTCTCTCTCTCTCTCTCTCTTGTTTTCGTCTTCTTTATTGATCCACCATATGACAAAAATAGAATTATATAAAATAAAAAGGGACAAAAAGAATTCCTTCTTTTTTGCATTTATAATTCTTTATGTTTAGAAAAAGCTAAATTAACAAGAAATGTTTGTCCAATGGCACATGTTATACATACACCGAGTATATCCATAATAACTTGAATGATAGGGCCTGCATGAGCAGCATCAATATGAAGAACACATTGTAGAACTATCGGAAGAAGTGTACCAAGTAAAATCGACGTAGTTATTATACAGAATAAAGCTAGACCAATGGTTACCGAAGGTAAAATTGCACCACGTTCTTCAAGCCATACGCGAACAAAACCAATCGATGTTACAGCGGTACCAATTATTAGAGCTGAAAATGTTTCTCGTATAATAAGTGATCGAATTGAAAATGATCGAGATGTTGCTAAACGACGAATAACTAATACAGCTGCTTGATTTCCAGCATTTCCACCAGCACCCACAAGCATGGTTAAATACATTGTGATTAAAATATGATGAGAAATGAGTTCCGAAAATGATTGTAAAATAAACGATGAACCCGATTGAAGCATTAATAAAAATGATAAAAGACAAACTCGAGAAAATATAGTGGTTTCTTCTTGAGGACCTACTTCTTTCTTCTCATCGATATCATCTAAACGATGACGAACATGATCAACGAATGTTTTCAATTCATCCGATGATAATGATGAGAATTGTTCGTCGAATGTTTCAATTATTTTCAATGGACGATGACGTAATGACATGTTGACTAGTAAGATACGATCAATCTGAAATTGTGTCAAAAAAAGATAACCAACATTTGAGACAATAATTAGTCTTATGTTTGTATGTGATAAGACATAGAAAAATGTCGTGTTAACGGATGCTTAGTAGCTTTTTTTCTTCTTTTTCTCATTCTGTTATAGATGTAACGTACTAGTTACTTCACAAGCATTCGGCATGAAGGAAAAAAAGAAAAATTACAGGACATATCAGTAAAGAGCAGTGATTATAATGAAAACAATGAATCATCGCTTATTCAGTTTTTTTTTGTTCTTTAAATCATCGATTTTATAGATTGATGTCACGTGAAATAAAAACAAACACAGAAATCAAAGTTGACTTTCGACGATATTTAGTTTTTCGCTTAAAGGAATGCGAGAACATTAAGCCATTATTTGTCGAAAAAAAAAAGAATCGCATTGATGTCAGTGGGTTTTTGAACATTTCCAATCAATTGACTGCCAGATTGATTGTTTTCCTAACTATGATTGAGACAAGTAACATACTGAGTAGTCTCGTTTGGAAGTGACAAACATAATGGTTGTCGTTGTCAATATTATTGGTTAGAAAAAGCCAACAAGACAAAGAAACGCTGACAATTGAATTTGTCAATAGAATGGTTTGGGGATCATTTCAATGTGCTATAAACTCCCATTAGAGAGTAAAGGATTATGCGGAACACAACCAAAACGAGTATTGCTATTGATATCGATGCCAACTAACAGGTATAGAATACAAATTATAGCTTGAAATTGATTGAACGATTAAAGCTGCAGGGAGAATGAAAACAACAAAAAAAACATGAATAGTAGAAAAATACATTACAAGTACCCTTGACAGATTAACAAAGTCATTTATTGATAAAGAAACAAAAAATGAACTATGTCGCTAGTTATGATGTATCAGGTTATGATACTCCTACGATTGCGCCTGTATGATTAATATCAAATTCTTCTTTTTTTTCTTTCTTAGCTTACAAATCTGTTTATTTGTTATAGTTTTCAATTATCTCTAGCAAACCATCTCATAGATCAGAAAAACCAAACGAATTAAAACTTGCTCCATTAGTATCATTCGATGAACATGGTGACATTCCAATTCCTACTACCCATCGGCCACCTTCTTCAGTACTCATTACTACTTCTCAGCCAGACGCGATCGCTCCTAATTGTTATGATTTACGCAGCTGGAAAGAATTTCGAAAAAACTTTACGCGATTCATTGTGCCATGTTTATGGTCACAATTAGGTTTATTTGTTTTAGTATTTGTTTATATTGCATTTGGTGGTCTCATTTTCTATTCGATCGAATCTAAATATGAATCGCATAAAATTCAACAAATTAAAATAAAACATTTACACGGTATTCATAATATTCGTCAAATAGCTAACGATGAATTCAACTGGGTGTTAAATGCGTCGTTTGAATTACGATATGCGCTTTGGCGAGGTATGTTGTCGCGTCTCGATGGTAATGATAACGTTGGTTGGCGTGTACAAGTTCATATTGAAAGATTTGATCGGCTGATTGAAAATGAACTTGCACGAATGCAAGCTGAACAAGAAAAACTAACGGATAAACATGATTCAAGAACAGATGCAGCGTATAATCAAAAGTGGACATTTTCAACAGCTATGCTCTATTCAGCTACAGTTATTAGTACAGTTGGATATGGAAATATTACACCGAAGTCGATACTAGGCAAATTAACAACATGTTTTTATGCTGCCATTGGAATTCCACTGATGATTATGTATTTAGCAAATACTGGTGATTTACTTGCATTTTTCTTCGTCAAATATTATTCTGTCACAAGAAACTTAGTTGATCGCATCATTAGACAGCAATCACGACGAAGACGACGACGACAAGAACAACTAACGAATTTACCTTTCGAAGTCAGTGAAATTGCTTTGAAAAAGTTTAATAATTTCTTCGTTCTAAATTCTAGTTGGAACATCAAACTGTACAATATCAAGTACCTATCCCAGCTACACTGGGTATTCTTACTTTATATATTGTAGTCGGTGCTGCTCTGTTCTCCAATTGGGAAGGGTGGTCATATATCGATGCGGCTTATTTTTCATTTATTACATTTACTACTATAGGTCTAGGCGATTTAGTACCTGGCAAAGGAACATTAACAGATAATAAACATGGTAAATCAATTCTATGTGCTCTCTATCTTCTGTATGGTCTTGTTATAACGACGATGTGTTTTAAATTATTACAAGATGATCTATTTGCTATTAAACGACGAATTTTTACACGCCTTGGTTTTGATGCGTATCAGTATTACTATCATTATCATCACTTTCATAATAATCGTCGATATCTAATGCGTTTACGTGAAAACAACAAATGACATTTCTTCTTTAGTTGTTGTCTCATTTTGAGTCCCGTTATTTTCCCAGTTGCTCAATAAAAAAAAGGAATTCAATATACTATACTTTCGTTGATTTTACTTTTTCTTCCCTCTGTTTTTGAATTGTATTTTCATTCCATCACCGTAAGTATCATCAACAGACTAGCGCATGTGGATATGAATATTTATTATCGAGGACAGTTTATGAGTGCAAAAACATATTCCATACTAAACCAAAATATGTAAATATGTAGATAAACAAGAAAAACAACAACATATCATTGAGAGAGATTCTTTAAACAATGTATTTTTGCTTCGTTTTTTTTGTGGCAATTTTCTAGTTATAAGGAGTTCTTCAAATACATCGATCCCACCACCCTAGATAAACTGAAAATATTGGAATTTTTTCAAGATTTCGATTGATTCTTCTTTGACATAGCAAAAAATAGCTATTAATTAATCATATTATATTAATATGCAAAGCAAACTAATGCATAATCATATGCATCATATCTTCGTTCTAATTTCATAAATCAGCAGAGCAACAATAATGTTTGCGTCTTGTTCTGTTGACTGCAAAACTTGTTTTTTCAATTGATAATATTCTTACTATTATATTAGATATTGTACCAGTAAAAACTGCCAAAATAACATGATAAATAATCAATTTTCTTGTTAGTACTTTCATATGTTTGAAGACAAAAACAAAAATAGGCTGGAACATGGGCACGATAGAGACAAAAAAACATAATTAACATATTCTACAAGATCAACAAAAATGAGAACAATATTTGTCCAATGCACTTGTAACCAAAATATCAATCGTGAATAATCATGATGTATAAATCAAGCAGTTGCGAAACAGACAATCTCCTAATTCCCGAAACGTTCCTAATGTTGTCTCCAACTTCAACATGCTTTTGGATACAAGAATATCAACTATGGTCATGAACTGAACCGTTCAATAATCAATAATACTAGAACTGTACGTAAAACATTCTTTTCTTTTACTGATTTCAAGATCGTGCAAGAAGTTTTATCGCTCTGGAATCAGTAAGAGCATTTTCGCTGTGATAGTAGAGCATTGAATTTTAAGAATTTGATCAATATATTTCAATTGACCGAAACTATTGAATAGAATAAGATTTCAGTTAAAGTTCCCAAAATGCACAGACCAAAAGAGAACAATGAACATAACCCAGATCGAACAGTCCGGCCTGGAAACGGCCGGTTCCGGTTAGTTCCGTTGATTTTGTGGAAGCAGTATTCCGGTTGGAAATTTTTCCGGCGATTTCTGATCAATTCCTGCCGGAAAGCACCGAAACGTGGCAGGAATCCGCCGGAAAAGTCCGGCCGTATTTTTGACCGGAATACTGCTTCCATGTTCCAGCGATTTCCCGTGTTTTCCTGCAGGACATGGTGACTTCTCACAGATCGAAAAATTCATTTATTGATAAAGGAAAATAATCAATTATGGCCCTAATTAAAATGTACCTAGTCATCATGCTCCAACGATTGCACCTGTAAGATTAATATCAGCTTCTTTTCTTCTTTCTTAGGTTACAACTCCGTTTATTTTTATAGTTTAAAATGATCACGAGCAAATCATCTCATCTATTAGCAGTGCCGAATAAATTACCATTTGCGCCATTAAAAACACGTGATGATCATGATAAAATACCACTTCCCATTATATATCGACTACCTTCTTCAATTCTCATTACTACTTCTCAACCAGATGCGATCGTTTCTAATTGCCATGATGTGCACAGTTGGAAAAAATTTCGAAAAAACTCTTGGCAACTCATGGTACCGCGTCTATGGTCACACGTAGGCTTATTCATTATAGTACTGGCTTATATTGTATTTGGGGGTTTAGTTTTCTATTTTATTGAGTCGAACTATGAATCAACTATAGTTGAACAAATAAAAATAAAACATTTGCAAGGCATTCACAATATTCGTCAAATAGCTAACGATGAATTCAACTGGGTGTTAAATGGTTCGTTTGAATTACGATACACATTATGGCGAGGCATGCTATCACGTCTCGATGGTTATGATAATGTTGGTTGGCGTGTACAAGTTCATATTGAAAAATTTGATCGGCTGATTGAAAATGAACTTGCACGAATGCAAGCTGAACAAGAAAATTTGTTGGATAAACGTGATTCTGGAACAGATGCAGCCTTTAATCAAAAGTGGGCATTTTCAACAGCTATGCTCTATTCAGCTACAGTTATTAGTACAGTTGGATATGGAAATATTACACCGAAGTCGATACTAGGCAAATTAACAACATGTTTTTATGCTGCCATTGGAATTCCACTGATGATTATGTATTTNACTTGCACGAATGCAAGCTGAACAAGAAAATTTGTTGGATAAACGTGATTCTGGAACAGATGCAGCCTTTAATCAAAAGTGGGCATTTTCAACAGCTATGCTCTATTCAGCTACAGTTATTAGTACAGTTGGATATGGAAATATTACACCGAAGTCGATACTAGGCAAATTAACAACATGTTTTTATGCTGCCATTGGAATTCCACTGATGATTATGTATTTTTTTGTTAGTCGCATCGTCAGGCAGTAATCGCAACGGTTAGGACTTCAAACGAAATTACCCTTCAAAGTCAATGAGATTAGTTTGAAAATTTTTTTGTTTCTAAATTTTAGATAAGACATCAAATTGTACAATGTCAAGTACCTATCAAAGCTATACTGAGTGTTCTCATTTTATATATTGTAGTTGGTGCTGCTCTGTTCTCTAATTGGGAAGGATGGTCGTATTACGATGCTGCTTATTTTTCATTCATTACATTTAGTACTGTAGGTCTAGGAGATTTAGTACCTGGCAAAGGAACATTAACAGAAAACAAAAATGGTAAATCAATTCTATGTGCTCTCTATCTTCTGTATGGTCTTGTTATAATGACGATGTGTTTTAAATTATTACAAGATGATCTATTTGCCATTAAACGACGAATTTTGACACGTCTTGGCTTTGATACGTATCATCATTTTCATCATTGTCGTCAATCCTTTGACGATCGTCGATACGTAATACCTATTTGTGAAACTAATATTTAAATGTTCTTGTCTAGTTTTTTTTCTTTCACATTTGGTTTCCTTTTTTTGCGAATTTTTCAATAAAAAAGGAACTCAATGTACTATATTTTCGTTGATGTTATTGTTTTTTTATTTCATTGTCATGTTGACATGTCTCATTCAACTTTTGAACAGATATTTTTGAATTCGTGCTTTTATTCCATTGCCGTAAGTATCATTAGCAAAGGATAATTAAGTCTACGGTGATCATACCACTAATTAAAATGAATATTTTGATTTTAAGAATAGACTGTGACTTATATTTCGTTTTATTATTGTAAGGCAGAATACTTATGTCACACTTACGGTTATTTTGGGCATTGCTATTGTTTTGTAAAGTAGTAACAATTCGTACATCATTGAACTGTTTATTCTTTAGGCTTATACCGATATGTGCTGCCATCATTAGTACTATTCATTCTATTTGCTCATTGTGGTTTTCAATGACAATACAAGTAATTGAGAGAGAGAGAGAAAGAGAGCCAAGGAATATATCAGTGTTAATGATTCTTGTCAAAATCTGAAGGTTTTCTGAAAAATGTTTTTGTATCATCTTCAACTGTTAATTGGAAAATCAGCTCGTTATGCTTGGCGCCGTCGAATATGTCGATGTTGTCCTAAAATCTTATTCGAACTACTGATTCCGGCAATATGTATTCTTCTTCTATGTTTGCTTCGTTGGATACATACACCTTCACCAAAAACTGATAATCAACAACAAACATCTAATAATATTAAAACATCTCGTATTCATTTAAGTGCGTCCTCAATAATTTCACAACAAGAATCAATTGAAATTTTCAATTATACATCAGTTTATCGATGTCCACCATCAAGTATTCCCATAGAAATTATTTCCAATAATTCATTCAATCGTTTCAAACGTTTATGTCCGAAAAGTCAATTTATTTTATCATCATCTGAATCATCCGTAGGAAATCTTGTACTTAATACTTCTTTAAAAACACATACCATCGGCTACCGTTGTCGATATGATAATCAATATTGGTGTCAAAATTCATTAGATAATGAACAAGATTCATCAGAAATTCAACATCCCTCTTCATATTTATGTTCACATAAAAATGTTCAAAATTCAAATAAATTACTACGAGCTTACTTAGCTATTGAATCTCTTTTAAATCCACCATCGAAAAAGCACCAATTAGTTATTTTCACATGGCCATGTTCATCCTATGAATCCGATGCTCTGTTTAGTATGGCTCCACGTTTTATGTCTATAATGATTTTTATACTTATCGATGGATGTATTTTATTTAGTTTTAATTTTCTTTTTCAAGAATTAATTCATGAAAAACATCAAGGCATAACTGAACTTCTTCGTTTACTTTCTATTCGTCCTTTACTCAACAGTCTCGCTTGGTTTTTACGTGTTTTTCTAGTACAATTAATAACAAGTGTATTTCTAATTTTAATATTAAAAAAATCATTCGACGGTGGAATTTATTTAACTCGTATATCTATTTGGTTTGTTATTCCAACAATACTTCTTTGGACTGTACAAGTTCTATCACGATCTATACTTGTTGCTCATTTTTTTCGTACGATTTTAAAAGCATCACTTTGGTCATGGTTTATTTATTTCATTTCGTTTTGGTTAGCGGTTTCATCATCAGTGCGATTGCCAATCATTCTTCATCTTATTGCTTCAGCTTGGCTACCATTCTATTCTGTTAAACGAACTTTTATTTTATTTTTTCAAATCAATACAGATTTAGGTCGACGTGCACATTTAATCAATGAAATTATGTTTGTTTGGTTAAGTATGTTCATCGGGAGTGTTTTAATGTGGATTTTAGCATCTTACTTCGAACAAATTCGACCAGGTAAATATGGCATAGCACGTCCGTGGTCATGGCCATTGGATTATATTCGTCATAAAAAAAATAAAAAGCAAAATCGACGAAATAGTACTAATGTTCATATGATTGAAACATCATCGAATGATCAAACAACTGTTCGAATAGATAATCTAACAAAAACATTTGGTGGACGTAATGCTGAACAACAAACAGCTGTCGATCATATTTCATTTAAACTTGAAAATTCTACTATTTATGGTCTGATTGGTCATAATGGTGCTGGAAAAACAACTACTATGGAAATGTTATGTGGTTTATTATCATGTGATTGTGGTACAATTGAAATTCACAATAAAGATTTGTTTGAAAATCTACATGAACTTCAATCATGTATTGGTTATTGTCCACAACATGATATGCTGTTTGCCTATTTAACTGTTGAAGAACAGCTAGAATTCTATGCTTGTGTACGATCAAAAAGTAATAATATAGATCATAAACAAATAAAAGAATTACTTTCCATGATGAATATGAGTCCATATAATCAACAATTATGTCATACATTATCCGGAGGCATGCAACGAAAACTATCCATCTTGTGTTCATTTGTTGGTCAAGTTGATGTTATAGTTTTAGGTGAGTAGAAAATAAAACAATCATGGAGATATATGAATCAAATTTTTATCTTTTTATTTAGATGAGCCCTCGTCATCACTTGATCCAGTGGCTCGACGAATGCTTTGGTCATGGCTTCGAGAACATAAAACAAATCGAACATTATTAATATCATCTCATTTATTAGATGAAGTTGAAGAACTTTGCGATTCCGTTATAATTCTTGATGCCGGTAAAATTCGTGCGCAAGGTACAATTCTTGATCTGAAACAGCAATATCGAACATCGGGCGATCGACTTCATTTGGCTACGATGCCATCGTATGTACCAAAGGAATGGATTATTGATGAAAATAGTCATTACATACAAATACCAAATCGAAAAGAATTAATTCAATTACTTGAACATCTAGAAAACGATAAAATTCAATATTCTCTAGTTAATGTAACACTTGATGATATTTTTCTGAAATTAACATCATCAGCGGACTCGTTTTCACAGGGTAAACAAAGCATGAAGTAAAATTTAGATCCATTGAAAGAAATTTTTTTTCTTGTATTTAGATGAGAATATCATCAAATCTCAAATTGAGAAATTATTCAATTTACGAACAAGTACTAAATCGACATATGTATGGTCTCAACAAGCATTAGCTGTTTTAATTCGACGAGGTCAAGTATTGCTAAAACGAGCTCGTCTTCTACCATTCATACTATTTCTTTATTTGGCTTATGAATTTTCATCACTCTATATGCCATCGTTTCCATCGCCATCTGAACGAATTCGTTATATCATTTCATCGCGTCCCGAATATATAAATAAATTAGATTTGAAAATTTTCGAAAAAAACTTCGCTCCAATTTTTAATTCATCACAAGAATTTCAACAATATCTATTAGGTAAAGTATTCTACTTCTTTTTCGATCTCCCTTATGATTTGATATAAAAAATAAAACTTTTGCTAGATTTACCAGCATGGCCATCGAATCATCATCGAAAAAAATCAATTGGCCTTCGAATAGTTTCTTCTGATTATTTCGAATGTTATGTTCCATCGCCTATTCTATCGAATATGATTAGTACATGTCTACCGGTATTTTCAGTATTTTCCAATCGATCTATTTCTCCGTTACAACTAATCGATAGACAACAAAAAACTTCATCGTCGCCATCTTCTACTGCATCTACTGGTTCGAATGATTCAATATTTTTTTGTTTTTATACATTACCACCTCGACTTCATTTAGCAATTATATTAATTTCACTCATATTAATTATTTCTGCAGCAATAGTTATTCAGGATTATGCTTCGGGTCTTTATTCCTATTCACTTATTCATGGTCTTCGTTCACCAATTCATTGGTCAATTACATTTCTCAGTGATTTTATTTTATGCATTCTATGGCTTTTTATTCTTATTTTAATAGCACGTTTTGTTCATCCGACAACATTCAATGGTGCATTTTTCGCATTAACACCTCTTTTTTTCATTGTCAATCTTCCATTTATATATTTAATTGCAAAGTTATTTAGAGCACCAGTACTAGGCGCAACAGTAATTGTATTTATTCTTCAATTAGCACATGTTGTAAATACGTTTAAAGCGTTTATTGAAGTTGTTCGTGGTTATCGTAAGCTGACAATTTTAATACAATGTTTACGTTGGTTACTATTACTGGCATTTCCCAATGTGAATGTATTTACATTAATAGTAGCTGTACTGAGAAAATCTTCTTGTCCTCTTGATGATTCATTGTTAGATAGAGAAGGAGAAGCATTATCACATGAACGTTATCCATATAAAATATTTATTCATACAATGATTTTCATTGTTCAATTTATTGTTTATTTTATTCTACTTGTTATTCTTGATATATCAAAATTACGATTTTCTCAAAGTAAAATTAAAGGTCGAATAAATCAAGAAGAAGAAGATAATGATGTTCAAGAAGAAAGATATCGAGTAGAAACACTGCCGATTAAAGATAAACAAGAGCAAACTTTAGTTGTTGATAATCTTTCAAAATATTATCCTCATAGATCCATTCCAGCTGTTAATCGTTTAACATTTGCTGTTCCACGTCGACAATGTTTTGGTCTTTTAGGATTCAATGGAAGTGGTACGTTTCAAACTATGAGAATATATAGTGATACTCTTTTCAACGAGTAGTTTTTACTAGTTTGCTTCTACTAATACCCTATTGGAGTCCTGATAGTAGTAAAAAACCTATCTATTTCACAGTACACTAAACTTATAACTCATATCTATTTATTATCTTAGGTAAAACTACCACATTTCGAATGTTAGTTGGAGAGTTACGACCAACAGGTGGCTATATCTATAAGAACAAGGCTGAATCTATTGGTTATTGTCCGCAAGATGATATTCATTTTTCGGCTTTAACTGTTCTACAATCTATTGATTATATCTGTCGTATTCATGGCCTTGATCCAGCATTATTAAATAATTTAATTCTATCTCAATTTCAATTAGAAAAATATCGCCATCGTTTAGTGTCACATTTAAGCGGTGGGACATGTCGTCGTCTTCATTTAGCTTTATGCTTAATTGGATCACCAACACTACTTTTACTCGATGAACCAACAGCAAAAATCGATCCGCTATTACGTAGTCATATACGTCTTATTTTACAACATCGTCCGATTGACACGTCAATTGTATTTGCTTCACATTCCATGCTTGAAAGTGAACAATTATGTGATCGTATAACAATACTTGTTCGTGGCAATGCAAGATGTTTAGGTTCACCTCAACATTTGAAAAATAAATATGGTATTAATTATCGTGTACGTCTAACATTACTTCAGTCATCATTTCAAATACCATTACTTACATCAGTTGATAATAGCAATGAATATGTATATGCTGAAGGTAGTTTAGCACAATTATTTAAATTATTGGAACGATTAGTTGAACAAAATAAAATCACATCGAATTTTACTGTCGAATTAACATCATTGGAACATATATTTTTGTCGTTACAACACTCTCAAGATATAAAAGTCTAATTGAATTTCATCTACGCATAGAGACGTCAGATTGCTGTGCTAGAATAGGCTCAGCGATAGAACAATTAGTTTTTCTAATTTTTTTTTTCTTTCCTTTGTAATAAAACCATTTTTAATAATGCTATTTGCACTAATTTCATTCGAGTTTTTTTCTTTTTGGTTTATGTATCCTATTGGGTTAGCATTTTTCACGTTTTTACTGGTTTTTTTTTGTATGACTCAAAAATAAAAGATTCATACGATCTATGCAATGATTAGTCGTGAAGCAAAAACTTTTTATATATTGATTAGTAAATGATTTGAACTTGTTGACCGCCCCTGGTGGATGAATTCTATAAGGTTCCTGGACACTGACCTATTGTCGGTTCCGACGGAAAAAATGACTTTCTTATTCACGATCAAATAAGCATTTTGAGCCATCAGAGCGCAAGGGCGTCCTAATACTTGTTCAGTATCACATATCTCTCTAAGGAGTACATGCTAGTATAACTAAAGCTGATTTTATCAAAATATCTGTTGTTTGAGGATCTAATAAATTATGAAATACTCAAGAGAGTAGAATATAAAGAAGATTGAACGAGACTAATCTTATGTTTCTATAAGCTATGTTGGAAATTCATTGCCATATTAAAGTCTATTTTTTTTTGCATGCACTACCTCATATGCAGATAACAATCTAGCGTATTAATCTTTACCCTTTCAAGATGCTCGAAATTGATTTACTGATGTTAATATCATGAAAAGCAAATAACTAGTAATTTGATTATCTTTCTTGGTAAAAGCCGTTGATTGAAAAATAATTGAATTAGTTATTGCTGATTGAATCTATAGATAATAGTAGGTTTCTATCAGTTTTAATATATGCAAACCAAGCAATCCTTGTTTAGATTGTATATATGTATATAAATAATTTAATTCTCTCGGGAAAAGTCAATTGTTTCTGATGGCGACATCTCTTGGGATTTATATTTGATTTGTCAATCATCTGTATTGAATCAAGCGAACAAAATCATTTTCTGTTGTTCAATGGTTTTCTTTCGACGCCAAATTATTATAGATAAATATGTATATTGATTCTTAAATAAAAAAAATGACTGATCTTTTTTCAATATCGGATCGAATATCGTCGAAATCTCGACGAACCTATTCACAACGAAATGTTTCTTCACTGCATTTGGAATTGACAAAAAATTGTAAATTAATTAATGTAAAAACATCGAAAACAACTATACTCAATCGAACGCTTAGTTTCAAACCATTACCAGTCACAAGGTTTGAATCATTCTTATTGGAAAAGTCAATAATATGAATTTATCATTTTTATCCTATTCTAGTTCATCATTAACTAATGTAGAAAATACTCCGATGAAAAAGATTTCCAATGAATCGAACAAATCTAGTGTAGCTTCAAAAGCACAAGAAATAATTGAGGAAACTCCAATTAAAGAAGAAACTATCGAAAATGATACAATGTCATCAGATAAAATGACGCGTGACATTCAAAAACTTGCTCATCGTCTTCGCTCTTCTATTCCATGTAAGTTTTTCTCAATACATCGAGATTAGTGTCAGCACTATTTTAAACGCTCAAAAGAACCTAGCTTGTATATATTATGACAGTCTTACATTAGAGTCTATAGTCTTCGATATATTGTCTTCTCTAAACGCACGTTCTTTTTAGTGGGTTCTCTCAACATTGATCAGAAAAAAAAAGATTATATTTCGTCTATCCTATAGGAAATTAGACATTGGCTGAATTGATGGTTGTTCCGAATTTTCTTTTCTTACAAAACATTCTCCAATGCTATTTCTTTTAAGTGTATGAAAAGTCCGTTTTTGATAATCAATCAACTAAACCGACTGCTCTTCATCTATCGCAAGTAGTCAATCGTGTGTCTCGTTGTAATTATGTTCTAAGAAATTTTGTTCGCGAAGCACAAAAATATTCAGCTACAACAAATGAAATACAAATAAAATCCGTTGTATCACTGCAATCAAGTGAAAGTAGCTATATTTTTCACATATGAAAAACAATCGCATAATATGTTTCTTGTTTTTTTTCTGAAGAAGGTCGACGTCGTCTTTTCATTGATTCTCCCAAACAAGATACAACTAGTTGCGCTTCTGAAAATCAACCACCAACAACGCCTCGAAAAGCCAGTGGTGTTATAAAACAATTATTCGCTTCTCCTTCACCATCTTTTAAACGAACTCCATCGTCATCGAATATTAATTTTGTTGTTGATGATAAACGTCAAAAACTTTTCTAATCTTGTTGTTTTCTTTTATCTTACGTTGTCAGATATATATACATATATAAATACGAAATTCTCATTTTTGTTTTCTAGATGACTCATGGGTATACGCTTTCGAGCGATATCTGGCTTGTTATTATTTATTTTTTTTATCGTATGGGTTCTATTACTAACTAACGAAGTAGATCAATCGTCGTATCCTCGAATATATGTAGCTGGTCCAGTAGCACCAAATTTCGATTACATACTGGAGCCCGGAGATGATGTATGTTCAACACCGGAACCACTGCTTTTAATTGTTTATGTTCATTCAGCAATAGAAAATCGTCATCGTCGAGAATCAATACGTTCAACATGGGCATCGCGTGCTATGTTCGGAAAACATATACGTGTTCTATTCATGGTTGGTTCAAGTCAAAATAGAGAGTTGATGAAACAAGCTCAATTTGAATTTGATACTTATCGTGATATTGTTCAACAAACATTTATTGATGCTTACCGAAATTTAACATATAAAGGTATTATGGCACTGAATTGGATTTCACGTCATTGTAATCGAACTTCGTATGTATTAAAAACCGATGATGATATGTTAATAAATATGTTTTCGATTTTAAATCATCTTTATACTTTAACACATGTCTATCCAATGGAAGCATGGCATTCGACGATAGCTTGTCTCGTGTGGACACGAATGCGTGTTACACGAGATCCAACATCTAAATGGTTTGTTTCATCTACTGAATATCCATACGAACATTTTGCACCTTATTGTTCTGGTTCTGCATATTTTATCACTCAAGATTTGATTCGACCACTATTTCAAGCAAGTCGATCGATGCCTTTTTTCTGGATTGATGATTATTATATTACTGGTCTTCTTCCACAAGCAATTCGATCATCGGTTTATGTTAATTATTTATATATTAATTCTCTCTTTGTAATTAATATTGATCTAGTCGAACAACGTTTTCTTTCACCATTTGGTCTTTCTTCACTTGTTTTTGGTCATATGCCATTATCAGTCGATCGCCTTCTACACACATGGCAACATATTGTGACAAACAGTCATTCAGCTTATAAATATCTGAATCGAACATCCCTCTAATCATTCATATTTTTTTTCTTTGTCAACCAAAGTCTTCCATATTTTTATTCTTTTAGATAGAAATGGTTTGGTTTGAAATCATTCCATCACTTATTCTGACGGCAGGTCCACTTCTTCTCGTTGCTGCACCTACAATTTATATCGGCAATTGGTTTTTCCTTAACGGAAAAGTCAGTATTTTGTTTTTTCCGTTGTTAATCGTACAGTTGTTGTTATCATAAAAATTTGCTTATGATTTAGAAATATGGACCAAAAAATATGATGAAAGATGATCGAGATTATTATATGTATTTGCGAGATCGACGTATCACAGGAAATGAATATTATCCACGAGTATGTATTCTGTGTTGAAACAATGATGAATTCTACAGTTCTGTTTCTTTTAAGGGCGTCGAAGCTATCGACGAGCGTCCCACATTGGTTAAACTCCGAAATCTTTGGAACATGTAAAACCCTAACAGAGCTAGCTTGCTTGTGATTATTTCCTTTTTTTTTGTACTATAATAAATCAAATAGATTCTAGCGTCTTCATGAGTATTTCATATGATCCAACGGGACTATATATATATAATAGAAATGAGTTTTCTATATTTTTGAGTATAATTTTTGATTCTTGAGGGTGTGGGTGTGGTGGTCACCGTGTTCTCAAAACAGGCAACGTTACTAAAATAATTAGAAAGTCTTCTTCGTAAATTCTAAACTACTTTTCGTTTATTATGCATGCCTAATTTATTTGTCCGAATCACTATTTCCCTCTAATATTAACATGATAATGCAATTAGTGCTAGTTTCAGCTTTACACTACAAAATTCGAGATGAGTCAGAGAGCGACTCTTTACAGCACAGATTTCCATGGAAACAGTGTTTTTTGACTTTATTGAAAATTTTGTGTTAATTTCGCTCATAATACCGTTTCACTTTTCTTTTCATAAGTTTCCTTTGAGCAAAATTCTGCAAAAGCTAAGATTCAGAATGCACTATCCCTATGAGAAAGAGTTGAGCTAGTCCACAGTTTCACTTTTCAAGTGAATTTCGTATTGTGTGGATGGAAAAAATGACCGATGTCATTTAGAACATTTGACAATATCATTATTTCTACTTCAATATTGATAATGTTTTGCCAAAAAAACAATACAACATAATAATATATTTTATGTGAGAATTTTATTGATTTCTAAAGCAAAATATCTATGTTGTTAAGACCACTGAACTATAACGTTTCCGATGGAGTCCATTGGATACTACTCTACTCCGCTAGATAGGCTGAAATTGATTGTTTATATGTGATATTTAATGCGGTGCGAAGCACAGCATTTATGTAGTCCGTCACGAGTTTTTTTTTATTTTTATTATTTTTAATGCGATGCGAAGCAGAAGCATTTATGTTGTCCGTCGCGAGTTTTTTTAATGCGAAGCAGAAGCATTTCTGTAGTCCGTCGCGTTTTTTTTTTTTTTTTACTCGAGATCGTACGCATCTTTTCTGTCGTTTTGTGACTCTATGATCTCGAGAACCAAAAATCGTAG